GACAACAACATTTAATTTCCCTTTGGAATTAATAAAGTATTTTGAATTTGAAAAGACTATTGATGCTTTTTGTGCTCTTATGCTCTCTTTAGTGGACCTTCTTTACTTAACAAATAATTTTGATGCTCTTCTCTGTAATGGATTTACAGCTTTTTTGTTAGATGGTGATGAAAAGATCTAATGTTTAAGCATTTTTTTCAGTTTAATGTTGCTTAAAATTAAAAATTTCTATTGGTCTTATTGTGTCACACAAGCACTCATATTGTTTGTCTTGCTGTGTATTGGTATATATTAAATATTTCAACACTGCTGTTATTCTGAATGGGTGTTTTGTATTCAAAAGTAAAAAATTGTTGCTTATATTTAATTTGTCCAGGTCAAATACAAATTTGCAGTTTTTTTCCCCACTAAAACACAGATAACCCTGAGTTAAAAGCATTCCACTGTGGTCCTACTGCAAAATATAACATGTCTCCATGCTAAGGAAAAACATCCCCACAGTATGTCTGCTAACGCCATGTTTGTCATTTTTGAGTTGTTGTGTTCAGGATGTTGTGCAGTTTTAGTTTTCTGCCACACATTGCTGCTTGTCTGATTAATAATCTCCTTGCCTTGCTGTTTTATTTAAGAAAGCCATGTCTTAGTGGGTTTGCATTTGTGTTGTACTCTTTCATTTTTGGATGGTTGATTAATCGGTGTACTGTGTGATGTTCAAATTGTGGTACATTCAAGCTGAAAATTATTCAAATATCTGGAATATTCAGGTGTAGAATAAATACTAAATACTTGCCAACATGTTTCTAATGGCAGTAAGTAAAAGTATCGGGGAGCTAAAGATTAGAGTGACAGCAAGAAGGTTTTCCAATCTCAAAAAGTTGGAACTCATCACCAAAGATAAATCATCAAAAAGGTTGGATTGCTGTAATACCCAGGATAATTCTTCTATGAATTATTGAGAAGAGTATAAATGAGTTCTGACATATCACTTTTTTTTGTAAATAAAAACATAAATATCTTTTACTGTTTTTTTTTAAATGCTTTCTTGTGATTTCACTACGATTCCAATATCTCTATTTCCATCACATACTCCTTGGTTGAAAGAAAATAATTTTAAAACAAACTCTGCCATGTATAAAAAAAATCAATTTTAGGCTTCAATATGCAATTTTTTATAGTTTAAGACAGCTTTAAGATTATTTATAATGTTATCTGTGAGCTTTTCGGTGTGTTTAACTGTTGCTAGCTAAAACACCACTGAGAGCTTCACAGCGTAATTGTATTTATAATGAGATTAAAATTTGCACAGGTTGGCTCAGTAAACTTTGAAACTGAAGGAAAGCATTTGGAAGTAATGAATCCTTTTCCTTTCATTTCTCAATAATGAGACACTTTTGTTGGCCTGACTCATAAATTACTTCTAAAAACTTGAAGATTATGTTTGTAATAAAATGAAACAGAAAAGTTAAATAGTCATCAATGGCTACATAAACTCTAGACTATTGAGGTTGCCAGAGGAAGCTGTAATTTCTTCAGACACCTCTGTCGCTAATAGATGTAAGGGATATGTGGCCCCTTTAAAACAATGTTTAGCCATTAGCCTGAGGAGAGATCTGAATGTTTAAAATACCTGTGAAATTAGATTTAACTGCTGAATTACTGTATCCAGAGCTGCTGCCTGCAGCTCTCTTATCCTGCTCTAAGACATGAAGACTCTTGTACATTCCCCTGCTCATTCTGACCCACTCGTACTACACCCTCAAAATATAAAGCTGCGGTTCCTGCTGCTTCCAAATCCATCAAAGCACCCAAACCACTTTCTCTGATTCTCCATACTGTGTAAATCTGCATATAATGAGGGAGAATCCTTGAATCCTGACTTTAAAGTCCTGTTCCCCATGTAGCTTGACATTGAGGTAGGAAAAAAAATGCTGTCTTTCTGAGTTAGTTGGTTTAAGGTTTGGATTAAGAAAAACTGAATATTCAAATGTGTGTTTTATCATTTCTGTGGGTGTGTTGGCGATTGGTTCGTGTCACAAGCTGTATGCATAAATAGCCAACTGAAGGCGGTGCAAACTGGTGACTTAAATCGTGAAAAGGGTGGCTTTTAAGAAGAAAAGTCTCTACAAGTTCTATGAAAAAGATAAAACATTTTCCTATTCACTGCTGAGATAAGATTGCATACAGTTTGTTTTCCATAAGTCAGAAGCAGCAATTATAGTTGAGATGCTAAGTTTTTTTTTCTTCTTACTTTGCGGAATCCATCTTTTTCAGATCATAATTTCCCTTGGCTCATTTGTCTTCTATTATCTTTCCATGGCCAACTCCGCTGGCTCTATTTTAACCAGGTAAAAGCTTTTGATCAGACCCTCGATTGTTCCTTGATCTTTAAATGGAGCTGGGATCTCGCTGGCTGGGGTCACTGGTCTTATCAATTCAGATAGCAGGCTCTCTTTTCATTCAGGCACTTAATTATTCAGTGGATCAAAAAAGTGCTGCAACATGTTCTTCATCTCTGAGTGTCCACCTTAATCCAGCGTTAGATCTAGAGTGAAATACAGATGTTTCTGTATTGCATTAAAGCATTTTTTTTCACTGACCTTTTTCACATTTTTGTTTTAAATTATGCTGCTGTTGCGTGGGCCCCCACACATTGTTTTGCCTGTCACCATTGTTGTATTCCAGCTTATGTGGAAATGTATTCATTGCGAATGTTGAGAATACAAAAAGAATAACCTGTTCCCATTTTCTTTTCTTATATCCCTACCCACACAACTTCTTCTACTTCTGCTGCTTTTAAGATAGGACTTTGTCATACAGTGTTGCAGTCCGTCTCTATAGAGTGCGGTTTGAAAAGTTTTTAGGGTAGAAAACAAAGCAACTTTTATCAAGAAATATACATTTTTAGCACAACAGAGTTGATTCTACTGAGTGTTTGCAAAGTTATTATCCCAACCTATATTTTGGCACAAGAGCTTCATTTTTTTCACAGCTCTGTAATAATTGCTGTGCAAAAACACAAACGTGATTACAGTTCTTTCAGGCTTTTGTTTTGTGGAAAACAGACATTGTGAATGTGAAACACCTCAGCGCTGCTATTGTTGTTATTCCCCCAGAGGCACACAGGCTTAGATAGACTCCTGAAGAGTGAAATGGAACAACAAAACACATAATGGGCTGACAAGCGGGATTTCTCCATTATTGCATTTAAAACACTGGCAGACCTGGCAACTTCAAAAAGACAAACATATTTTAAAAACTCATCACTCGGGTCCTTTAAAAAAGGTCTTATGTGTTTAGTTTTTTCCATTTTCAAAGCTTATTTTTCTTCTGAGACACACACACCAGTTCAATAAGAATACATGTTAAAATTTATGTAAGAAATAATTTGGTATTTTGGTATTGTTATTTTTCTTATATGCAAAACAAAATCATAGTATTAGTGTTTTCTCCAGTACTTCCTTTGTCTCCTTTAATGGAGACAAATTCTCACAACAGTTATAGAAAGTAGGGGAACAACATACTGCTAAATACTGTGGCCTCAGCAATAAAAATCTCACCAAGCAACTAAAACAGTCGACATTCTCCATGCCAATAGGTACACTTATGCACCCATGGCTTGAGATTAATGTCCCAACTTGGGAGAACAGCACATACCTCCAAAGTATGTATGAGTGTTTCAGGCTCCAGTTCAAATTCAAAATGTATCTTATGCGATTTCAAAAAGAAGCCCTGGTAACATATTCAATCAGAACTCCTCTCAAACAGTGCATAGTACCTTATGCAGAAACCCTCAATTTTATCATGTCACTGTTAAGTCCTAATCTGAAAGTGCTAAGTGTTTCCAGTAAGGTGGAAACTGGTAGTTTAAGTGCAGAAACATCACATATAAACAATCAGATAAGAACAGCCATCATTGTTTTCACATTTCAATTAGGGTTTCCCACTCCACTATCCAATGATGCTCAAACTGGTTTTGCCCGGTGATGAATGGCTGCCTAACCAAGGCAGAATCTGAGCGAAAGATCCAATCAGTTGACAGTATGTGCATCATTTTCCTTTCTCAGCTTTTTACTGTCATGCTATGGACACTCCGGCACATTAACGAGCTATAACACACAGCTACGGCTTTTCTCACTATTGTAATCAGACCCTTGAGTAAGGTCCTTGTTAGCTGATGCACAATAAGCTCCAGTCTAATGAAGTGTAAACCAGATAGGAGGGAGCTCTAAGCGGGAGTTTAGATGAATATGACCGGCAGCCTTGGAGAGCAAGGGAGGACTCAATCCTAATGTTGTTAGCCAGTAGGTCATTCCTTTCTGTCTCACCCTTGCTCAGTTTATCAGCACTTCATAATGTGAAGGATGTAAGGGCAGAGTGTTAAAAGTGAGGATCACCCTTAAGTGCGAGAACTCTTTGAGCGTGAATAAAGTGAGAAGTGGGCTGAGGATGAGTATGCTGTTTGATTTTTACTTTTCTGGAGTTATAACAGACCTGCTCCGACTAACAGACTTACTCTATGTGTCGGCTAATCCTTTATGTGAAAAACGTCTGTCTTTCTCCTCTGTACATTACCAGTTTAATTGTAACTTTTGCCTGGAGAAATCTTCCTCTGCTGCTCACTCGTTTTATGTGTAGGAGGTCAGCTTTCTTTAGCCTTATTTTACACTTTCAATTTAACCAGCATTGCAAAATTGATTTTTTTCACCCCTAATCACTGACTGTAATTTGCAATTTAATTTTGCTGTGAAAATGCATAATCATCATCATTCATTCCAGCAGGTTATTGGAAGACAAACAGCATTCATATCCAACCATCCCATATGTTAACTTGTTTGAATCCATTATGATGCATATATAATGCATTACCTTCTGGTAACCCAGAGAAAGTGCTATCATGCCTTGATAGCTTTTTCCATTGCCATATGAACTAGACCTGATGTGTTTGCTTGCACATCTGTGCACAAACACACAAATTAACCCTTCACATGTTTCTCTTTTAGCCAACGCTGGGGCCTGTTATCCTAAGCAAGGTAACTCACCGGGCGAATGGCTCCCTGCTTTTTTGTCCCCTCCTAAGTTCATTGCTATTCCAGTCACATATTTTATGTGTAACCATCTTCTTCCGCCTGTCTTTGTTCTCTTCCTGTCTGATTTCCACCTTGGGCTGCATTGCCTGTCAGATTGAGCACTGATAAAAAGGCCACGTGCTGTCAGAGTGATGGGAGTCCTTAAAATGGACAGAAGGAACAGAGAGATAGTGAGAACATGTAAAGAAAGTGTCAGCGGGTGACGGGTGACTGAGGGAATGACGGGGAGAAGTTCCTGAGAAAAGTAAGACAGAGTAATGATAGAAATTATGTACCTGTTCCATTATGTTCCCACCTGACTTTCAATCACTTTAATGTCAAAAAAAATATTTTTGCCTGTTTTCTAAATAAATAAAAAAATTAAAGCCACTGAAAGAAAAACAGGCATATCAGAATGTAATAACCTCCAAAACAAATTCAGCTAGAGCCCCTGCCTTTGATCTATTGCAGAAGCACTTTACTTTTCGCATTTTCCTTCCCCCTTAGAACTTGAAATCAATAATTCTGCAAGAAACTGCTCTGTCCTGGTGGCAAATAGTCTAACATCCCACCCCATTTCTCTCTCTTTCTCTCTCCTGTCTCCTTCGTGCCGTTTTTCCTCTCTGCTCCCCTCTGCTTCACTTGTTTCCACCTGTGTGTCTGCTGCGTGTCTGTATGTCTCCACCCTGAAATGTTCCTGGATGCGGATTTGGGTGGCAATTTGCCTCTCATCCGTACACGTTCCGCCCTCCGCCCTCCTTCCTCTTACCTCTTTTTTCCTTGTCCTCATCCCTCCTTCTCCTTCTCCTCCTTCATCCTCATTCTTTAGATCCCGAGCGTGGCGGCAGTCACATGATCTCCACAGATGACCTGGAGTATCCACGAGAGTACAGGACGCTGGGGAACAGCGGCCGGCGTTTCTCCAATGTCGGCTTGGTGCACACATCTGAGCACCGCCACACTGTCAGCGCTGCACAGAGTCTGGAGGCCCTGACCAACCTGCATAAGGCTGACATGGAACGGAAGAGGGACGCCTTCATGGATCACCTGAAGAGTAAATATCAACAGCAACAGCAGCAGCAGCAGCAGCAGCAGCTGCAGCATCCGCACCACAGCCCCCACCACAACCCACCATCACCCTCACCATCCCATGCCAGCATGAGGGGCTCCTCGGATCGATCTGCTAGAGAACAGGTAATAATATTTGTTACATATTTTTATTGATGCCCTGAGATGCGTTTTTTTAAAATTGTGTTAACTTGTGACTTAAGGCAGATGAAAAGTGTCCACAATTCCAATTATTTCCTGATGCACTGTTGTCGGCTTTTTAGCTGTTTGTGAATTAAATCACTGTTAGTCTAACAATAGTTCATTCTAAAGCACACAAATCAGACTTGAACTGGAGAATTAAAGCAGCTGTTTTTAGTTGATGTGTCCAGATTTAAGACAATGGTTCTAATTCAGGGAGTATCAGGTTGACGGTATCAAAGTTCCTAACTTAAAGGGAATATATTATGCAAAATTCACATTTTGCATATTTTTATACTGTCATTTGGGTTTCTACTACTTCTAAAACCAGCCCAAGTTCTTAAAAACCCCAGATGGTTTTTGACAATAAGTTAAAAACCAGGTTTTTGAAATTACAAGTTTCAGAAACCTTCCGAACAAATCATCAAGCACTGCCTTTCACCTAGCATCCCCAGTAACCCCAGCAACCCCAGGGAAGCCCAGCCTGTAGCAACCCAGGCTGAGCTCCAGGACATTTGGTTTGCTGGTTTGACTGCTGTGTGCGCTCTACGATGGCTGGTGGAAAAGATAAGTGTTTTATTGTTGATTTACTATTTAGAAGCTACTTGCCGCATTCTTGTTGGTTGTGCCGGAGGCTCCACGTCTGCTTTTCAAATATAGACGGTTGTGTAACTGTGCCTTTGCCTTCAGCCATTTTCACAGTCAAGCGTAAATGTTGGCAGAACTGAGCAGATTAAATTTCATCATCTAAGAATGATTTTGTGCAAAACAATTAATGAACATGTTTTGTATAGCTCATAGACCGATCCTAACCAGACTAAGGAAGCCATGTTTGTTCTAGATTTGACTTGGCCAGCCACACCCTAGTCAGTGTTTAGAAACCACAACCCTTTTTCTGTTAAGGACCTTTTTTTTTTTTTTTGCAATGATTCTTACTGCTGAATAGAATATGTTGGGTTCTGCATCTTTCTGGCTCTTTTTGCCACACTTTGTTCACTACCAGTGGAGAGCAAGCTGCACAGAATTTAAGTGTGTCACTAAAAATTTTTGGAGGAATATTTAACCAAAAATTCTTCAACATGACCAAGAACAGCAATTTTATTTACCCCGACAATTTTTTGCAAGTATTTTCACTCCGAAAATCACACAGGACTATTATTCAGCAGATGTGGAGCAGGCATCTCCTCGCTTCACAGAGTGAGGTCTTACTAAGATGCTCCAAGTAGGAAAAGAGAAATTATTCTATTACAGTGACTACATTTTATGGCTTATTTAGATTCACTACAAACTCGATAGAATAAGTTAACTGTAACAAAGTTTAAAGGGATTTTGTCAAAGCAAATTTACCATGTTCACTGCGGAGGCACAAGATGAGAAAACTCTCATCAGGATTAGAACTGGACTATTGTCACTTCAAAGGAAATTTGTAATACTCACAAATATTGAAAAAATAAGACACAGAGAGACATCTTGTTACCATTAGTTCCTCCTTCTTCTCTCCACTTGTAATGATCAGACCAAAAAGCTTCCATCTCCGTTGACCACTTTAATGTTAAGTACTGGTTAGTGGAGTCCATAAGCAAAGTGCAATTCATAACCTTCTGGTGATATTCCTATCTGCAAGAAGGAACTCTGCTTATGAGGTTTTTATACCTCTCTTGACTCTCCGATATATCAGGCAGCCATATTTAAGAAGGGCTAAGTGGCTCCAAATTTTTTCCACTTCCAATTAATGGAGATTGAATTCCATCCTGCCAAAATGTTTTATGTCCTTCGCCAGATTTGTTTTGAAACAATCAAGTCTTAGGGGTCTTAAGGACAGTTTCTTTATCTTTATTGCTTTGCTTTTTGTGTAAGTGAAGTCCAGTCAGCTGAACTCACCACAGATTGACTTAAAGTTGCAGAAAGTTGTGAAGTATATTCAATACACAAAAGATTATTGGATGTGCTTTTGTTATATCACTATTATTATTCTGTTTATTGAATTCACATTAAAGGTAATTTTTTTGTTGTCCCGGGTTGGTTAGTGTCGATGCTTCAGCAATTATTATTGCTGATTTTTATACTGTTGAAATGTTGTATTTATTTTTCTGCACATCAAAGACACTTAGATTGTTTTCACCCTTAATAGTTTTGTAGACTTGGGACAATTTGTGCAATTTTTTTGCTGGAGTGGTTCGCTTTCACACCGCACTGTGTCAAACACTTTGAAAAACATATTTACCCCATCGCCTGCGGTGGCGCTGGACCTAGAACCACTGAAGGAGATATTATTACCTCTAAAGAAGACATGACCGCAATTTCCTTCTTCATAAAATGCAAACAAAAATGGAGTGCTGTTAGATTTTAGTGATTGTAGGACTTCTTGTTTGTCTTTGGCAAAGGAGCACAAGCCATTTCTCCTGCTAGCGCTCCATAAGCGAGTTTGTTTTGCTTGTATTTAAACAGATTGCCCTGCACAATACCCTTCTTCATTCTTTTGGAGAGAACTCAGGTCAGCTTGGCATTCATATATGCTTCCAAACCACACCAAAGTTCACTTCAACCAAAGCAAGAACTCATGCACACCAGAGTTCACATTTTTGGTCTGCATCAGAGTTTGATTGCACATTCACACCCCCTCAAATGAACTGGACTTCCTAGGCAAACAAACTAGTTTCTGGTGAAAGCAAACTTTTTTATGATGCATTGCAAGGATCTTTATGTTGTATCTGTCTGGAGCTTGAGTATTGGCTAGTTTCTGCTTGGCAGATTCTGCAAAGTGTTACTTTGGGGAACAAAACTAGATCCCATGAAGTGAAGGAAGACATATGTAAGCATTTAAATGATTTTTGTCCCTTTTAAGTGTAGTTTATGTAAGAACCAGTTTCACAGTTTCTGTCCCTGCAACGAACATGCAAAGGGCAAGTAAGCACTGCTGCTGTATGTAAATTTTGGAAAATTCAGGCATAATGACGTGCCAGAATAGCACGTGATGAAAGAAGAGAGAGAATGAAAGGGATTGAGAGAGAGAGTTAGGTGGGTGAACGACAGGTGGAGTCCCAGTTGCCTTGGGAACCACTACCATATAAGGCATGAAGGGATATCGTATTGCAAAGGTCAGGTTGTGTGGAGAGGAAAGAATGGAACAATAATGAAGACAGGAATGAATGATGAGTGGAGGGACAGCACAGTGAGCAGACGGATCCTGAAGTGACAGGGCATTTTCACTGCACCAGGGAGGGAGCAGCAGACTCCAGGATTCCTTGTCATCTCTCTGTAGAGGGAAGCCAGAAGGGGGCGGGGGTTGGTGGTCGCAGTCAAGCAGTCCACTGACCAATTAACCAGCACCAGCAGGACTCGACCGCCCATCTGTGAAGGAGTTAATCGGCTGGTGTTGTAATGAATTAAATAAAAAAGAGTTTCCGCCGCATGTGCAATTGTAGAGCGAGACGGGAAAAGAGAGGGACTGAATGAGGAAGAGGGAGATTTGTAAGAGAAGCAGAGGGAGGGAGAGACGGGCAAACAAAAAAAAAAGATGCGCTGAGGATTTTCTGCACCTGATGGACAGTCTGGGGTGACTGGAGTCTTGGACAGGCACAGGTGCTCTGCAGGTGAGATTTAACTGGAAGTTGTTGCAGAGAAGTGTGTATGTGAGCGTGTGTGTGGGATAAGGATGTGCCAGCTGGGATTAGATTCCACGCCTGTTATGTTTGTTGTGGTTGTTGTAGTGACAGAGTGCATATGCCTCAGCAGGCAGAAACCCACAGCAGACGAAAGCTGAGGGGACGATAGTAAAAGCTGTGCACAAAGCTTTTCGTGTCTCCCTTCGAGTGTGGGGTTGATTTTCTGTACAAATATTATCGTTTTCAGAATGGGTAGCAAAAGCTGCTGTTGTGTTGCAACTAAACTGGACCAGAGGATGATTTAAGGTGCATGAGTAAGAATGAGTGAGATGGAGGGGAGGTAGGGTGCAGAGAAGATGACGACATGAGAAAGAGTGGAGGAGGGAAGGGAGGGAGTGAAGAGTCTACTTTACATGCAGGTCAGGTAACGCAGCACGCCACTCTTTGAGGCTACGTTTCTCTGCTGGACTCCACTTGCACGTGTCTGCGTGAGTGTTTAATTGTGCAAATGATTCTCACATTTTTGGAGTGGGAGTTGCATTTGACCCCTTCGTTCTAAGTTTAATCTGACATCTTAAATAAACCGCAGTAATTATCTGCTTAAGGCATAAAGTGTCATAAGAAGCTGCATGTAGATAGAATAAGCAAAGCACAGAATAAGTTGTTAAATATACTCTTACGACAGAAAATGTTCTTTAATTGCATGGTTGTCAGGAGTAACATAATCAAATAAACCCTCTCCAGTTTGCTTTTGTAGTATTTACAACTCAAAGTCCAAGCTGTGTTTATCTGCCTCTGTCAGCAAAGCGGGTTGAAAGGATTAGATATGTTTACCTTAGCATCACAAGTGCACATTATTAATGCAACAGAAGCTGCCAAAGGCAGATGCACAAAACCACAAATTTCTTCTCCACCATTAAAGCTGGTCTCTCTGATTTATTTTGTCTTGTGGGTAAGAACAAAATCATTCTTCTTAGTGTCATAACAAATTAATTGCATTTATTTACAACATTGAAATGATGCCCTGGGGCCCCCCTCCCCAATAATGAAACTTTCTGGTTTTGTTTAAAATAACTGGATAGTTGAGGCCAGTTTACTTTACTCTGGAGAGACCTCATGATTAGCTCATCCTTAACACAGATCCATTATCAATGACCCGATAACCCCTAACGCAACTTCTCCTCAGAGAACATGATATTATTAACAAATAACAATCCAGTGGTTTTTAAAATAGCTTATTTACACTTGTTGAACCAATGCTTGAGGTTCAATGTCTAAAATGCATAAAAAAAAGAAATTTTTGTGTTCAACAACAGCAACCAAAAACATTTGAAAAACACAAACAGCACAGCTGGCAGGAATATAGATTTTTTTTTCACAGCGTTACATCAAAGCGTTGTCTTTCATTCTAGCTGCTATGACGTTTGTCAGGAGTCATTTATATGCTAAAGGAGAAAGAAGCGTGGGTTGAAATTTTTTACATGTATTTTTTTTCTTTTGGCATATGTCTAAGCCTACACGTTCACATACCTCTAATATTAACGTACTATATACGGAACAACTGGATCTCTCAGTTAATCAGCCATTATCTGCTGTGTCTTCGTTTCCAGGTTGTCGAATTTCTTACTATTACTGTAACAATTATCAAAGCTCTGGTTCTTTTCCAGAAGACTCATTTTCTAAAACAGAGTATATGACTGCAGCAACTGACAGAGCAAACTCACAAAAGAAACAGCTTGACAGATAAACCTCAATGTCAAAGTAAGCTTACTTACAAAGAACATATATATGAAGGGGCTACTTAATGTTAAAATACTTTTGTCAGCGTTAAGTGCTTTTGTTTGCATTTTCATTATAAAATTAACACATTAATAAGAGTAAAACAACATTTATATCAGAAAAGTACATTGAGGTTGATATTAACTTTTTCTTTGTTTTTGTTTTTTTTGCTTTACTGTGTCTAAATTGTTGGAATATTCTGCTTTATACTGTCCAACTGTTTGTCTGCAAATCAGAAAGAAAACATAAACTAATACTGAGTATTAATAAATCAGGTGCACCTATGAATTACCAAGCAGTTATTGCTGTTTTCACAAATTGCAGCCGGAAAAGTGCCAGACATGAGTTTTTTTTTTTTTTTTTTTTTTTTTTTTTTTTCCAAAGCAGCACTGTGAGAATACATTTAATGAAGAGAATCTCCTGCTGCGACATGTTAGCATAAAACAACAAGACCTAATTGTCTGCATCTCCCTTGTTCATAAAGCTCCCCTAAAAAAAAAAAAAACATCAGTCAAGTTTCTGTCTAGTTGCTTGTGGAAAAATGCCAATCACGGTTAAATTCTAATCCTATTGAACGCCACTATTTTTAATAAACTAAACACTTGAAATAGGTTTATTCTCAGCATAAATATATATTAAATTTTTGATTTTATGTTTATAATATACATATTGAAAACACACTGACTATCATAAATAAAAACATGCCTGTCACTTTTTTTAATCTAGGTAATGTGGACTTTAAAGAAGAGAAGCTGAATTGGGTGTATATTGCCTGCAGAGAAGAATAAAAGTGGAGATGGAATTACAATTGAGATTTGTGAACTCTCCTCCATCTTTAATATTGCATATCGTCGACTTGAGATATTTCTTGGCCAGCAGTGACTATGTCTGGTTTTAACTATTGGGTTATTATGGCTTATTTTAAGTCTTTTTTTTCTTTAGGCCTTTATGAATATGTTAGCACTTTTTCTGCAATGCCCAAACAGCAAGAAGTGCAAATATGCAGATGTTTGCTACCTTATTCAGTGTTGCAAATTAGCAGGTCAGATTTGGAGGTTGTGATGAAAAGTGAGCAGCAGGTGGAAGGAGATTGGAAGGAACCAGAGTAAGAAGGGGACAAAATGGTTGCTTGCCAGTGGTGAAATCTGGGAAAAAAGCCAATGCTGCAAGGAGAGAATGGACTTCTGATTTTATTTTGCATTGCTCTTTTCATTTGATTTTCAATAGCACAATCTCATGTCAGGTTTTCAGTAACCTGATGCCTGAAAATGGAGCCATTACCTCCATTATTGACCAGTCAGTGCTTGTGTTTTACATATATGCTTTAAATTTACCTGTCAGCAATATACAGTCAGTACCTACTGAAGGCAGGATTTAAAAAATTTAAAAAATCAGCAACTTACATGATCGGTGTTACATTTCAACTAATGTTATTAATGTTTGCATTTTCTTGCATTTATGATATATGATTCTTGAAAGAGTAATTTCTTTATCTTTCTCATCTTTCTTTCTTTTGTTCTTCATGAAACTCTACAGCAACAGCCCAACTACTGGAGCTTCAAGGTTAGTGCTCCTTGTCTAAGTGTGTTTGTCATTCTTCTGTCTGTTTTGTGTGTGTTTACATCTGTGGCATCTTGTCCACCCCCAACACCCTTAATGTCCCTCCTGCTGCTCTTTTTTCACACCCTTCTTACTCCTGCAACATCTTTTCACTTTTTTGAACAGAGCTTATGTTTGTGGTTGTGGCTTTTGTGGTGACAAAAATGACAGAGGTGAAAACAACTTAAACCTCTGCATGTCAATTTAATTTGTAGACCTTCATGAACTCGTGACACCTCCGTTAGTTAGCATTACTGGCTGCAAACGTTTGACCGGCTGGTGGTATTATACTGGCAGTGATGTAGAGCTGTCAAATGTGTCTTTATGGAGTTGTTTTATGATGAGTAGAAATTAATCAAAGGAAAAAGCTGAAAGAATGAAAGCATCAAATTTCAAAATATTCAAGATCCAAAACTGTGTTAAAAACAGTGTTTTAATTGATAAACTAAAAAGAAGTTGACGTTTTTAACATGACTAATTGATGATTAGATCTGAAGCATAATATAATTGCAAACTATTGTTTTATTTTGTAAATTAATTGCTGCTAATATGTAGTAGCATTTAGTTTGTCTATTAAATCCAATTGTTTTCTGGTATTTAATTATTTCAATGCCACTCAACCATAAAATGTAGTTTTAGCAGACTACTTTCCCTGACATAAATTGCTGTTTTCTTTACCCCACAACATTACTTTAAGTTTGTGTATTTATTTGGCTGTTTTCTTTAATTGTGTGATTATTCAGAAAACAGTAAGATCTATATTCTGATCTCAAATGTGCTTCTGCAGAGATAGATTTCACCATGAAAATATCACAAATATTTAGTAGGGAGAAGATTTGAAGATCATTTCTTATCATACACAATCTGCTTTTACACCTTTTATATTTGCAGGGCTTTCTGCACAGTTTTCTTTCTAATCAGTGAAGCTCCAGAAACCCATGCCCTACTTCAGCATCCCACCAACTCTAATCTAAGCTCAGCTTTCCACTCTTGTGCTTAACTGAGAGTCCAGGGAGATTAAACAAATGCTAAACTCAGCCTCTGTGAGGTTCCTGGAAGAAAATCTTGGAATATATTTCTATTTTTGTCCAGTAACATAATCTTGAATGAAAAAATTTTGAAAAAATATATTTTTAGACAGTTAGCTGGTTAGCACAGCTAGCCATTGAGAGACACATTTAAGAAAAATGTGCCATGCCATATTTACAGTTTTAATCTAAACCTTATTGAAACCTTACTGATAAAAAAAATAAAAAAGACAGGAGGACATAAAACTTTCAATTTAATCTTCCAGGACTATTTAACTAATTCTGTCTGGAAATCTCAATCATCTCACCTCTTCTTGAAAATGCTATTTTTCTTCCTTTCCTTTCACATGCTCCATCAACTTACAATTTACTGGGATCTGGCAGAGCCATCATTTCCATGCATTGATGACTTCAGGTCATCTGAAGAGAAATGACTCTATTATTATGAGGAAATTTTGTGTCCAGACGATTGGCTGCAAAGCTTGAGAAGTTGAGGTGAATTAATTGGACAGTTAAGAGTAAAATCGATGTATGGTATGGGTATATTAAGGAGATTTTTTCTTTAAATTTCATTAAAAATTGAGAAAGTGCTGACTCATTGCAATTAACCGCACACAAATTTTACTGCAAGCAAAGCATATGGACGAGACTAGAGCTTCTGTTAGTGGAGACTGAGGTGGAGGCAGATAATCTGACATCAGTTGTCTCGGTGAGAAGCTTATGGAGTGACGGGAGAGAATCAGTGAGTGACGTTGTGTAAAAGGCGTGGGAGAGAGACATAACTAGGGTTGAAGCTAAATGGAAGCTTTTGAAGAACACCAAGATATCAGTTATAGGAAAAAACTGAACAAGCTAGATTTCAAAGGACTCAAGAAAAAGTGGAGAAGTTCAAAGATTTGTCCTTTGAAACATTTTACCTAATTCCCTGCAACTAACGAGTTTACACACATCAAGCTGTGCGAGATTTCTCTTTTCAGTTTTACTCAAGGGGGTGAGATTAGTAATGGAGGCTACTTGCATCCATCATGTCATGAACCAGCCTTGGGCCCCATACTGCAATGCAGTTTAGCCACACCGTCTCACCTGCTTGTTGAGCGCTTCACCTCAAATCAGCCACATGCTAAAAAAGACACTACTGGATTTCCATTGTCTGACACAGCACACAATAATAATCCTTTTGGCTCTCTGCAATCAGGTTGTATCAAACGTGATTGCCTCCCCAGCGCTATCAGCTGCGTGTTCTGGATCTAAAATAAAGTGGACATATTATATGTACATTCATTAGTACATCTTGGGTTGCAGGATTTACCTCACGACATGTAAAATTATGGTCCATAAATATTTAAACAAGCCGATTAGAGTTTTTAGCAGCTGGATGTCAGATTTTTCAGGCAATTATACGGGCATTGTGACCCTCAGCAAAACCGCTCGTCTGACGCCAGCTGCACTGACAGAAAATTAGCAACTGTGACTGAAATTTTTGCTTAATCTGTACAGTGAAAGTGAGGCAGATAAATGAAGATTTAATTGACTCCCAAACCAATCTGAGTGTTTCATTTTCATCTACAGCACTGTGAAAATTATTACAAATGTTGTCCACTTATATATAGGACAATATACCACATATCAGGTGGAATAAATATATTCACACAGGGCTTAAACAGCCTTTTACTGTAATAAATCAAATCTTCCCTTGAAAATGTTTTTTGTTTCTCTACTGGTTATTTTGAAAGTTTGTCTTATCTTAAACATTCACGTGTAAAAATGGAACAGAACAAATCTGTTCTGGAAAATGTGTTTTTTACTGATACAGGTTAACTAGATATAATTTTTTAGGTGCCACGCAATGTCTTCTAGTTTTTGACATTTTAACCTTCTTCGGTGAGTGTTTTTTAACACAGAGAACATGTTGCTACTGTGTATTAGCACAAGAAATCAGAAGAACTGGTGGGAGGTTGCATAAGTTTAATGCAGTTTGTAGCCTGAGGTCTGTTGTCGGGCCACCTTGTCCTACTTTCCACTCCATTTGCTTGTCTTCTAACCTCATCCTGTTCCGTACTCTTTTTTCTCTCATCCACAGTGAACAAAGACAGCAGAAAACTCAGTAGCAATAGGGTTGGGCCGAAACTGTCATAATTAGTAGAAAATAAGTGTTTTTCTGAGAGAAAGGCAGCAGAATCGGTTTCTGGCTTGTCTAATAAGAACCAGATGGTGTTTTTGCATGTAATGTTTAGAATACAAAATTACTGCAGAAATATATTATCAAACCTCCTTAAAGTGGAAGCAGAAATAAGGAAGTCAATATAGGTAGTGTGATGTAAAAAGTCAAGCTGAAAAATATGACACATTTGTAATTCAGCAACACGTTTTAAGAGAATACAACCCCACTCTTTCCTGTTCCCACGGTTTTAATTTTTCTTTCCGACAGGATTTTATGATTTTCAGGCTTTGTGGAAAGTACTCGTATGTAACACATCCTTTTTGTTTTTGTATTTGCAGAAAAAAAAACTACTCAGTTACTCTTATATTCAAGCTTGTTTGGCTTTTTTTTCTCTTTTTTTTTTTTTTTTTGCCAAATCAACTTTTACAGAGTTGTAGAGTTGCAATCAGATTGTTGATATCCAATTCCTCTGCTGCATTTATTAGAACTTTCCGCTCCAAAAATGGCTGGCAAACAATATTACTGAAATATAGCTTCTTACTAAGAGTTAGGATTAATACTCTGTAAAAATCTTCAACATGAGTTGGCACAGATTTTACAAAATTCACTAATTATTTCCAGAAGCTGCTCCTGTTACCAATTTTTATTTCAGTTCACTGTAACAAGTGTAAGTCTAAGTTGTTATTGATCTTCCCTGTGGCAAATACTAAATGAAATCAAGTATATTTTCCAAATTGGTACAAATTTCTTCATATTTCAAACTCTGGGACTTTTCTTCTTTAGTTTTTATTTACAAAAAACCCCCAAAAACATTCAGTCTCCTCCCATTAGACATTAGATTCAAAGTCCCAGTGGCCAGGAAAACAACAGACTAAAAGTCATTCATCCCTACTGCAATTAAAGCCCTCAACAACAGAGGTATTTGAACATCCTGTTTACAATTTTTATCTTGTTTATGTCTTTTTTGAAAGTTTTATGTGTGTATAGAGTCCTGTCGAGGAGATATTTATTTCACTGTTGATGTCAGATAGTTTTCTATCCTATTCCATTCTTAAAAAAAGCATTCATAATTTTTCCCTTGACAGAGACAGCATGAAATAATATTGAATCCCAGACCTACCTGGTAAAATGAATATGATATATTTCCTCATTATTATGCAGTGGTTTGACAGTAAGACGAGAATGTTGCATTTTGCAGTATCTGGTGGGCTCCTGGGATGCTGCTGGCTGTTTTTTGTTGTTGTTTTTTTTTACAATGTGGTCACTGTTTAGATAAATTAGCCTATTAGAAAACATGTTGGGGGTTATCTGTCTGCATCACACACTTTCCGTAAGCACTCTAACGTTGTCTGCCAACACTATCTGTAGATTCTTCATGTGTGGGTGTGGGACTGCATTATGTATGACAGTGTCAGAAGGACTTTGAAACTGCATGATGAAAGCAAACATGCAGTTTACCTTGTAAACTTATTGTGGATGTTTTTGCGAACAATAGTAGTGAGTGTAAGGCAACAATTTGCTCTTGACTAGATGGTTGTACTATCTATTTTCTATTCGAAGGACTCTGACAAAAACACAAAGACTTCAACAGATTTCTTAAAGTTAAGCAGGCTAATGTCACAGAAGAATTGCTTTGGTTCCCTGTAATATAACAGCATGGCAAATGAGAGCATTTGACTTAAGAAAAACCTAATAATCTTATAATGGTACATTACATAAAATGAAACAATTTTTTTCTGTTATTTTTCTGCCTTTGATGTGAATTTTAAAACTTCTGGCAGAGTTTAATAACTCCTAGATCAATACAATATCCACCACAATCAAATAGTAAATAAATATCATTCAGTTTTTAACAAGCACCACAGAAGGTTAAAACATGCTATTCTTACACTTGTCCTTTACAAACATAATAAAAAGGAAGTCAAAATGTGTGTAGTTCCTTTAAACTAGACTGAATTTGGATAATCACTGTATAATCAGCTTAAAGGGACGAGCCGCTTCTGAGTTTAGAATTTATAACAGATTTCAGACAAAACTGACAAACCAAAGAGCTAAATGCTAAATGAGAAATATGTCTTCAGAGCAGTTGTCATAGACCCTCAATCAGATCACTTATCTTGATTTTCTTGACCATATCTTACCTTTACAATCATCTATTGCATAAAGAATCATCATGTCAGACAGACTTGACTGACACTTAACTAAATAATGTTTTTACCTGTTTACCTTTGCTGTTTTTAAGAGACTGAGATTATTTTTATATCGTAATAAGTGTTTACATCAAACTGTCTGCCCTGCTGCTTGATATTAAAGTGAAAGTAAAGTTGAGCTTAATCTTTTTTCTTTAATCATTGTCGTTTGGTGGTTTTTCATAAAAAAACTTTTTCTTCTGAATCTGAGTGCAAAGAAGGCCTTTCATGTCACTGCAGTTAGTCTTCCATTAATTAAAAGTTGCACCAATGAAAGCCACGGAATGTTCATGCAGCAGCTGGACTTGAGCAGAGAAAGAACGAGGTGACAACCATTGTGTTCATGCTTCAAAGAGAAGGAGACAGGCACTGCTACTAAACTGTGGGCTGAGGATGTGTCTGCTTCTTCCGTGAAAACAATCAGCAGACAGCATTCGGGGAGCTCATTACAGCAGCCTCTGAGCTGGAGGAAATGCTACAGTGGTGGGGGAATCAGAGAATTCAGTTCAGTGAGCTCAGCCTCAGCCGAGCTAACAGTCTTTGGGAGAGAAAGTGTAGGAGAGAGAGAGAAGAGAGAGAGAGAGAGAGCGACGCCTGGGCATAAGCCAGCAGGATAAACCCACAGTGAGAGCCTGGGACTTACATGAGCTTCTCCTCCCATCCCACAAGAACTCATTTAAAAGTTCATAGGTGTGCAGAGACAAGTGCCAATGAGGGGGTCCATGAATGAATGTGGATGTGAAGTGAAAAATACAGCATAACTTTTGTCAGGTTGCACACACAGTTCCTCTCAACTCTAATGCATTTTATATTATTCTTTTGATGTTATAAACTGTGATGCAAGCAATTGTCAGTGAATGGCTGGTAGCTAAAACCATTGTCAAGGTCTGAATAATCTCATTAGTTGGCTTATTGTGTTAACCCTCATTGTGTGCTCCCTGTCTCTACCAGTTGGTCTTATGACATCAGCCTTGTCAAATCCATTTTTTCTGCCACAGTTTCACCTCTCAGTGAATTCACACATGCCTCTGTGTGTCCAGCAGAGTCGCAGTCCACGCCATTCCCAGTCTACCCAGTCCGGGCTTGCAGACCAGGCTGCCAAGCTTTCTTTTGCCTCTGCCGAATCCCTGGAGACAATGTCAGAAGCAGACATGCCCCTTGGGTTCAACCGAATGAACCGATTCCGCCAGAGCCTGCCGCTGTCTCGTTCTGCCAGCCAGAATAAGCTAAGATCTCCAGGTAATGATTCTGATGAGATCCTGGCACGACCTGTCTCAACAGGCTGGTAGAACTTGAGGCAAATTTTACAGCTTTCTCTTTACTTCATGGTGCTGCTGCTATGAAACACTTTCCTGCCATGTAGTGGGAGGAGGTGTTATATTCTCAATGCTTTTACCATGAAGTGCTTCCTTAGTTTAATTGCCCTTCTGCATAGACATAAAACAATCAAATAAGTGTTTCTAAATATATAAAAATGTAAGTTTTTCTGATTAGACACTGTAAATTACTAAAACTAATATTCTTACTCTCTTCCAGACATGACCTAATGTTTGTTATACAATCAAGGAGTCAAATGTGCTTAAGATAATTGGTGATAAGAAAAACCTAAATATTATTTGTGTCATATGGATATTATGTCTACAGAGTTCATTCTGGACTACGCTCATTATTTGTGACAGTGAACGAATCAGAAAGACTGAGGTATTTAGCAGAAATGGAAACGCTGATCTCTTTCCTCTGTCTCTACTAATACCTGTCTTTTTTTCTTTTCTCTATGACTTGTTTATAGCATTTTTTGCCCTATTTATAATTCCTTTTTCTTTTCCTTTGTTGTTGTTTTTGTTTGTCCTTTCGTGTATGAAGATGAATTTTCAGGTTAGTCAGGCATCATACACATCTTTCAACAAAACATTTTTCTTATTTTTTTCACAAACTTTACCTTCTGCTGTTTATGTAAAAAAAAAAACACTGCATTTAAAATATTGTTAAAATTTAACGAATTATTTTTATTTGTCCTAGATATCTAAATGTTCACTAATCAGTGCAAAAATTCTGGGAAAGTGAACTGGGAAAGTTTCCAAAATTGTGATTTTTGCTTTTATAGAATCATTTTCTCATGTTTTTTCTCATGTACGACAAAAATTAGCAACTTTGTGTTGGTTTATCACATAAAATCCCCCAAAATTTGAATAAAATTATGGTTGTATCATGACATGAGAAAATATTCAGAAGGTTTAAATATGAGGCTCAGAAAGTCGCCATAGGTTTTTTTAGTACCAGTTAGCAGAATTTGTGGATCACAACTAACACCACAGCTCGCAAAATATGTCTCCAATGGTTGTCCTGCCATCTAATAAAGCCAAACACATCTGACTCAACCATGTCTCCCCCACAACTTTCTCCTAGGCGTGCTCTTCCTGCAGTATGGAGATGAGACACGCCGGGTTCACATCACCCACGAGCTGAGCAGCATGGACACGTTGCACGCTCTCATCGTGCACATGTTCCCTCAGAAGTTGACGGCGGGAATGCTGAAGTCACCCAACACGGCAATCCTAATCAAAGATGAGGCCCGAAATGTCTTCTATGAGCTGGAGGACGTCCGGGATATTCAGGACCGGAGCATCATCAAGATTTACCGCAAAGAACCCATCTATGCTTCTTACCCTGCAGCTGCACACCTGGCTAACGGAGACCTGCGGGTAAGCACAGGAGACCTGAGAGGTGGGAAGGGCAATTTGTGTTGAATACTCCTGTTACATTGTGAAAATGGAGCTGCACCAGAGTTCTTTGGAAGATAAATTCTGCTGTTTTTGAGAACAGTATCTTTGCAGACTTTCGTAGTGTTTTGGGGGTTAGCAGTGGAACATGTTTTCCCGTTGGAAATGTATTTTTTTCATCTTCAAATAGGCCATCTGTTGCTGTGCAGGCAGGAGAGAACATGCACCCCTGTACAATGAGCATATTTTAACATTTAAAATGATTTCTGCTTTAGTAAAGATAAAGCAGCCTGAGGGAGAACATTTTTTTTTACTATTATTGATGCAAAACTCTGCTTACCATCTGCATTATTCACACTGAACTGGGAATACAAATGCTATTAAAAAACACTGAAGAGTGTTTCTGTTTACTTACACTGTGCTGTGGTAATGCTCACACTCACTCTTCCATCTATTTGGAGCAGATATGGTGTAAAGAAATGGCTAACAGTCAGGGATGAACTATGAATACATTTGGATAGATACTCCAACTTAACCTGATCACAAATTATAATATCTCTGGCAGTGGAAAGATGATGTTCTCTGTGTGTGATATTGTGAGCTCAGATTCAGAGAAACAAAACTGTGAACGAGAGAGTTAAGCTTCGAATATAGTCATCCATCCAATATTGTATTATGTCAACTGGAAAATAAAAAATGAGAGGTGCACATGAAAAGCAGTCTAAAGGAGATATTAAAAGATAAGAAAGCACAAACCTTTAACTCATAGCTGATGTATAACTAAAGTCCCCTTCAAAGGTGATTACATCAGCAGCTTTTTGTGCATTTGTTGCAGAAAATACAGTTGAAAAGATAATTACATTCAGTGCTTTTTTTTTCTCATTGTCTGATATTAAACCTGACAAAACCTTTCCTGGTTTTAGAGAGTCAGGGTCACAAAATATTTCTATTTGCTAAATACCATAGTAGTGGGTTCCTTGGAGAAAATTGTATTGTTCCTCCTAAAGCTGCACAATATGTTGAATCACAGTCCTCATTGCACTATCAATGTGTCATATTGCAGTCGCACGGACTGCTTATATGTAATATTTGGTAGACTAAGATATTGTAAGTCTTAAAATCAGGCACTTGGATGGACTTTCACTGTCCACACTTGATTGATCAGTGTGGTAGAAATGAAAGAAAATAGAAAGGAAAATATGAGTTAAGGACAGTAGATTTTGTCTTACTGTAAGATTACAGTGCCTGTAATTATTATTGCCATTCAGAAAGAAAGCAGGTTCTCTGTCCCATAGATGAAGGTGTTTGTTGTGAAAATTGCTTATTAACTCCATGCCAAAAGAGCCAAAGCCCTTGTAAAGATACTGGCTGACGCTGGTCGTTATTGCTTTCAAAGCAGTTCCTTTCAAAAGACTGGATGTCCATAAAAATTTGTTTCAATGGGCTTATGTCCTTATATTCCATAGAAATCTGCAGAAAATTAGATTTTTTTTATATATATATACTTTTGGAATTCTTACAACTACTACACATCCCTATTGTCTAATAGCTGCCATCCTAACAACTATTTTGTTTCTTTCAGAGAGAAATGGTTTACTCATCTCGGGAATCTTCCCCAACACGTCGCCTCAACACTCTTCCTTCCTCTTCAACCTCGGCACCCTCTGGCTCTCCGTCTCGCTCTCGCCTCTCATACAGCGGGGGTCGTACTCCCTCCTTCTCCGGAAACCATCCTCAACATGAGCAACCCAGACATTCCCACCATCCTCCAGGTGGCCATGGGGCCAACATGGGTCTGTCTCCATCACCAAGTGCCATCTTGGAGCGCCGTGATGTCAAGCCAGATGAAGAAGTTTCTGCAAAAAAGCTGGCTCTCATGAAAAATGAGGCACTTTATGCTGATCCCTACAGTTTGATGAACGAGGGTCGCCTCAGCATTGCCTCCACCCAGTCTTTGGCTGCCATTGGAGACCCTTTCAGCTACCCTGTTACCACTGGCCTCTATCGGCGAGGGTCTGTACGCTCTCTTAGCACCTACTCTGCCGCTGCTCTTCAGGGAGACCTGGAGGACTCATTCTACAAGCCTGGAGGTTCACTATACTCGGACACGTACTCCTCTGCAACCCTGGGAATGGGGTTCCGCATGCCGCCCTCGTCCCCACAAAAAATTCCTGACATGCAGCTGAGGGACTCGTATTCCACTTCACCACGACCCTCGCCTGTCAGGCAGACTTTCCGGAAAGACTCTGCCTCCTCATCTGTGTTTGTGGAGAGTCCAAAGTCGAGGCCCAGCTCCAGTTCAGAGCCCGGTTTTGGTCCTTCTTTATCTGGACAAGACGCAGACACCAGCAGGTCAGCCTTATTTGGAACAGCTCACTGGATGTCTTCAACTATAAGCCACTCTCTAAATTAGCTCTTCACAGAAGCATTGACTACTCCACTGTAATCTGCCTGTGCCTATAATTTCATAAGCATTATGTGTTTTTTTTCAGGGACCACCGCCTGGAGCGTATGGAGGCCATGGAGAAGCAAATAGCCAGCCTGACTGGCCTTGTGCAGAGTGTACTGACCAGGGCACCAGACAGCGACAGCACGTAAGACCCTCTATTAGACCCCATTAACCCTCTAAAAGTCACAAATACAGCCTCAGATTTGACACATAAGCAGGAGTATTGACAGGAACAGCGGCAGGCTATTATCAGAGCCATTACCAGCTCCACGGTAGTGAGGTATTGCACTGCCTTGCACACAGCTCTAGTACAGACCACTAAACCATCAGCTGCAGGCAGCTGTGCTATTGATCTGCTGTCGGATTCACAGAGTTTTCAGCTTTTTACATTCCCCAGGTCAAGCCATCTATGTTCATGTACATACCAGGAGTTTATTCACTAGAAGATAACTGAGCTAATGTGAGAAGTTTCATCATATCCGATAGTGGTGCTTTGAGCATTAGCTCTGTAATTGCCTTGCCCTGTGGCCGTTGATCCTCAGATGCGGCCTACTGCGTCTCTGCATGATGGCGGGATGCCCTCCGGACCAAGGCACGGAGTTTTCACGGCCATTACCTTTCTCTTCCAGCGAGAAGACCGAAACTAACAGTGACGGCTCCGCCACTGGAAGTGAGTACAGCATAGTAATCGAGATCTATGAATTGAAGTGTTACTAACACTCCTGTTTCCCAGTTGCCATGCCTGTGCTCATTTTCTTGCTAACTCTGCTCCAGAAATACTGTATACATACTCTGCAGTAATGTTGATCTCCAGGCCTATTTGTCCAAGCTCTCAATGTGGGAAGACGGGCAAGATTTGAAATGGGGTATAACATTGCTGAGCTACTTGTTGGTGTTAATTGTCTTGTTTTTTGTTCTCAATCTGAGAAAATTAAAAACTGTGCCTTTCCTGTTGTTCCGGTGCACTATTATTTCAAATATCAATATTTGAGCTTCGTGAATCTAGTAAAGGTGAAAATGATTCTATTTTATTAGTTTTGAATGTGACTAAAACAACTCTCTGCTTAAAGCAGAAGTGCTGGCAGTTGCCCACAGGGCCAGGAAAGTTTTCCACTGCTCAATTTCATGGCCAGTCAGTGAAAAATGGGTTGGCTCTTATGGTGCAAAAGCATAAGATATCTAAGAAAATATGGCTGTAAACAGCAACTTTAACTATAAGTAGAACCATTCTTGCCAAATTAAAGGATGTGCAATGTTTTGCTCAGCAATATAAAACACATTTGATCATTTTACTTGCTTACATTTGGAATTGTATTTATTTACATCATCATCTTGTGGTCTAAATTTGACTTTATCAAAAAGGCAACAAATGAGGGCCTTTCCTAAATCTTCACTTGGATCAAAATCAAATCTCTAATCAGTACTAACTCCAAAAAAAAACCCACACAATTTCTGACTAAGACTTTTTTTGCTATTCAAACCTTTTATTTTTATTTCAGTCATACTCTAAAATGACCTATTCACCATTGGATATTGAAATATCCTATCAGATTAAATACGAATGACATTTTATGCATAAAGAAAGTAAAATAAAGGCTGTTAGAAATCTCAAAAAATACTCTTGAACACCTTTGGAGCTGTTTGAAATGTGTTAAATAAACAAGCAAATCTTCAAAAGTGTAAACATAACCCTCGCGGCAAGGTTTGAAAACAGACACAGCTATGAAATAGTTACTTTAACTCACTCTGTGCAGAATGATTTATTTTAGATGGTAGTTGAACTTAAAAATGACAATTTTATAACTTGTCAGTATCTGTAGCATGGATTAGATTAATTATCGTCCTTTTTAAGTTATTTTTCTCTTTCCTATAATTTTTTTGACTTATTCAAAAACAGATAATCTTTGCCCAGATCCCCATGGTACAATGCCAAAATATTAAGGCACCTCTACTGTCCCTTCCTCTGCTGTAATCAGTAGAAATCTTCCCTGTTCATCCCTCTTCAAATATAAATTCTGAAGAGTCTCCTCTTTCTTTTCTCTCTCTATCCCTCCTCATTAATTTCTTGGTAACTGGCTCACTCTTTCTATATTCCAGCTGGACGTCAAAAGAAGAAAGGTAGTTGGCATCTCCTCCTCCTGTCATCCTTTTTTATTTCTTCTGTCAGACATTCATCATGACTCTCTGCCCTCTGTATGGGTGTTGGTGTTGCTGAAAAACCAGCAGTCTCTGTTCTCATGTTTTCCTCCTGGCTGTTTTTTCCCCCGGAAAGCGGACTCCTCTCCTTATGTCTCTAATTCTTGAATTCTTTGCTTGGTTGTTTGGGAATTTTCAAAAGTTTATTTCGTCACACACTAGACACTTGTTGGCGAGTGTGTATGTGTGGTCAAATAAATGGCAGATTGATGGCCATACTCACAAAGCCCTGTGTTGAGATAAGAGCATTCTCATCCCTGTGTGTCCCAACTAAACAGATAGTAAACTTCTCCCCCAGTTACTAATAGCATGAGTTCACTTTTTACCCAATACACAACTAGAGTTTTGTGAATATGGTGGTTTTTGTTGCTTTTTCACACTGGGTAAAACGTGTGTTTGCCCAGACCTACTCTATTTATGGATGTATTTATTTGGGTATTTCTGCTGAGAGTGTGCCTGTTGCTCATATTGTTTCTGAAATGTAACTGGAGTACTGCTTAACAAACTAACAGCATTGTTTCCCAATGATCCCCCAATATCCTGCTTTGTGATTAGCAGCCAATACACCGTCAGCACCTTTAGCTTTGATGCCACCACCACCATCTAACACAACCCTGGTGAACAGTGTGGGTCGCCTGCAGATGAAACTCCATCTGCATGGTCTGCAGCAAAATGCCACCGACCTCCGCAAACAGCTCGGCCAGCTTCGCAAGATGCAGGTATATACAGTTTAAACAATTTATCTGTTTCAGAAACACTTTTCTTTTCACTCCTGACGATTTGTACATATATCGTCGTGTAATTTGGAAAACTTATGTTAAAATTTTCATTCTCTTTAATGCATGATAATAAAATCTCAATTCCAACTGTCATTCACAAACACTTTGAGGTTTTGTTGATTAAAACATGGTTGCAGCAGCATCATGCTGTCTGGATGCTTTTCTGCATCAGGAATCGGGGAGCTAATGACAGTCCATAAGAAGATGTAGTTAAAAACACAACAATCCTGGAAGATAATCTGTTAAAAGCTGCAAAAAAATTTGAGTTTAGGACAGACGTTTAATTTCTAGAGGACAGCAACTCTACAGTAAACACAAAACAAGAATTACAATGGAATGGTTTAGAGAATAGCATATCCATGTAAAGGTCTGGTTAAAGCCTAGAATTAAGGATCTGTAGCAAAGCTGGAAAATAGATGTTAAGGGTGATGCTTTGATTAGCTTTAGTTTATCTTTTTATGCTTGTTTTTTTACCTTTTGGAATCCTTGTTAGTTTGCAGTTGCAGGAAATTACATTAATAAAAAACAACTCTAAGCATCTGCTGGCTGAGGATATGTTAAGATTACTGGAGCCGACAGCTGTGTTCTCTGCTGACTCTGTTTAGATATACCTCGCAGTTATTTTTATGAATTGCATTTCATTAATATAAACACATCTTGTTCTTGCACTTCCTGAAAACCTCCGGGGTTGTGGGAAGGAAATTGTCACCTTCCCTGACACTCAAATGAATACAGACTAAAAGCGCGTTTCACTAGCTTTTAGACTGTAGGATAAGAACGAACAGTGTTTTGAGTAGTTATTGGGGGTTATATTAGCTGAACTTTAATGAATCAAGCTTTGCAGAGAAAGACAGAGCATTATAAATAATCAGCTTTCAAAGTGACAGGGAGGAATATTACATTTTATGTGCAGCTCAAAGCAATACAAGTGTACACATAAAAGTTTCATCAGCAACATGTCTTTCCCGAGACAATGTTCTGATGATTGTGCATAATTCACAATCTTGTGAACATCTCTTGCTAACAACTTACCACTGAGGAAAAGCAGACATTGTAAATTTTGCAGAGGAATCAGCAAAGCTGTTTCAGTTTGAACTCAACCATTTTATGGCAAATACACAATACCTTGATAAGTGTAAACAGAGTCCTAATTTTTTTGGAGTGTTTAGTCCAATTTTAGTGTTTAGAAACCAGAAGATTGTAAATTGCTTCAAAATATCAAATTGTAAAGTTTGCATATATTTTGCTTTAGCACGGGTCCCTTTGGTTTTAAGTGTTTAAATATTGATAAATTTGTATTTGTGGTGACTGCTATTAAACATGATGTATTTTACTATGTCTATATAGACCTCCTTCTGCGGTTCTTAACACCTTTGATAAACATTCAAAAAATATAGTTTTTGTATAATCTAACACAAATAATCTTATACAGCAGAATTTTGTCTACAATGTCCTCTTAGCCATTTCATGACTTAAAAAAAATCAACACACAACTAACTTACATAAATGGCATTTTCTCTTGTGTTTCTCATTTTGAAGAGTTGTAAAGTGAAATCACATAATCACTAAATGAATCTCTAAGTCACATCACATTTATTAAGCTGAGAAACAGGAAATTTTCTCAGCTTAATAAGAAAATTTGTACATTCATTGTCTAAGAAGTTTTGGGGCAATTTCCAGCCACTCCTTGATGTTGTTCTACGTTTTCTTACTTTTGTAGGTATTAGATCTCATAGAGTGATCAATAAATGTTTCTCAATAGTTCTTTGATTTGCTAGTCCAATTTATTTTGTAAGCCAGGTTCTAGAATTAATTAAATCTACAGGCCTTTTTGTAATAAAGCCAATAGTGCGGTTAGTGAAATCAATGGTTAATTTTATTGTAACGAGAGGTTACTTTTTCATTAAGTTCCACTCTGTGTTGGAACTTAATGTTTTGGATTTCACTTAGGAAAACTTTATAAAAATATCAATATATTTTAAATGACATCTGGAACAACATCCATATTTCAACGGTAGGAAATGTGCTGGGCAAAAGTGGCATCCAAGTGGGAATTCCAAGACTGAAAGCACTGCTGACGAGTCAAAAAGTGGAACTTTTTAAAAGCAGTCCATCTTGTTTCATCTGTCATAAAACTAATGCAAGATTCAGTGAAAGAAAATCTTCCTGACGAAAACGCTAGATTTTTCCCAGCATCATCTTAAAATGGAAAGTCAGGCAAAAAAATTATGTTATAAGGTCTTTTTAAAACAAGCTTACAAAGATGATTCGACCAAATTATTTCTGCTATTCAAATTTCTTTGATGAACTGCAACGTTTTTAAAATATTAGGTACTATCATAGGATTCATTTTCTAAATTCTTCAGTTTGAGATTATGTTGCTACAAGAAAAATGAATGAATTTCAAGACTTTGTACTCATGTTTCCCATATTGCCAACAGATATGGAGCTACTGCAGTACGCAGGTGGCTTTCAGCTTTCTATGTTCACTTCAATGCTACCTATTGTAAATACCACCTGCAAGAAACTCTGCTGCAGTGGTATTCCATTTTGTTGGGGCTGCAGTGGAACAATATCGAAGCTAAGTTGGTAGTTTGCAGTGTTCTGAAACAATTTGGACAGACTGGTTTGACTGGTGTCTTTGCAGAGAAAATAAAAAGAAAAGGCAATAAGAGACAGTGAGTGTTTCAGAGCTGTTATTTATTTCACCACAATGATCACAAGGTTTTCTTGAAGTTGTTAAGCAGCAAAACAGCTACAGCTGTGATGTACACAGAGAGGAAAGGTTATTGTTTGCATGTGTATTTGTCAGAGTATGACCTCTACACCTGGGTTATTGTTGTTGCCCAAAGCACTGGCCTTCTGCTTCAATTTTGCATGAGCTATATGAATTATACATAACGTCAAGGAAAAGGGTGAGTAGTTAAAATTTAGAGACAAGGCAGCACACTGGAAGATTAAAAACATGTAAATGCATTAAATATTTTTACTTAAATTTTTGCTGCACTCCTGAGTCTACAGGAATGCAGCTGCTGTCAGTTGGGAATACAATGTTATTCTGCATGTTAGTGATACTGTTGTCTTGCTCAAACAGACAGCTAATAAATTATTAATTTTTTCTGGCTTAGCAGGTGATTTCAAACCAGGGTTTTGTGTTACGTGGAGCAGGCCTGCAGAATGTTGCATTTACAACACAGACAGAGAGCTCAGTTCATGCTCAAGTGATTCCGCCATGGGCATTCTTTGTTTTTCTCAGAACTTCTGAACTTAGTGCTAGGAGAAATATTTTGTGCAAATTAAAATTTAAGCAAAACAAGTGTGGAAGTCTCAAGATTGTAAAGTTTGTAAATAATTTTTTCTCACCACACTGAATATATTCTCTGCAGCTGCAGAATTTCTATCTTTAATAATGTCTTGTGTTTGAAGATCAGCAAAATAAACAATGACATAATCTGTTAATAATTCAAACAGCTTTACTTTGTCAACCTTTGTTATATTACAACAACAAACTTTGATGGAGGGAGGAGTGGTGTGTGAAGTTATGGACCACCACATAAATGACTAAGTGGATGAAAAATAAAATTATTTTTTTTATTTTAAAATTTAAATTTTAAACTTTTATTAATCTCCCTTACTTATTCTGACTCCCTTACATAAACTCAAGAAAATCTGAATACCTTCTGAATACCTTGTAAATATACAGGGTCTACTGGTGTAAAATGTATTCCAAGTATAAAATTAATGCAAGGGCTGTGAATACTTCTACAAGGCACAGTCCAATACTTTTCAAGGATTGCTAGCATTCTTGTCTTCCTGTTGTCTTGATTTTAAATGTTTTTTGTGTGCAGATGGAGAACCAGGATTCCGTGCGAACTCTGCTGAAGCGGACAGAGGCTGAGCTGAACGTACGTGTAGCAGATGCCCTGCGGAAGCAAGAAGATCCTTTGCAGAGACAACGCCTCCTTGTGGAGGAGGAAAGACTCAAGTACCTCAATGAAGAAGAACTCATCATCCAGCAGCTCCAGTCAGTCACATAAGATTATTAAAAGCATAAAGTAAAACAACCTACTATCTAAATCTAAAAACTTTGTATTAATATTTTGTCCAATAATAGAACGTTTTTATTTGCATGTCTATGAGGCAACAGTGTGTGATTTTCTCCTCTATTCTATTTGAAATATAGCAAAAGTTATACATTCCACATGGAGTTGGTACATCAGAGAAAAGTTCAGCTTTTGCAGCTTAATGAATTACAGAATGACTTGGTGATATGAAGAAATTTAACTGTAATTAAGCCTGACAATGGACAAGATGCTTATTAAGATCTGAAATACATAGCTGTCCAGTAACTAATTAGAATGAGTGCAAAGATGAAAGTGAGAACTACCTTGAGATTTAATCATCAGATATTGTAAGTTGCTTCGCTCTTATATGTGGAATTGCTAAGCCCCTAAATCACTACACATTTCTGAATAATTGGTTGAACTCTTAGAGATCTTTGCTAATCAGTATTTGTTTTTCTTCCCCACCAAATGTAGCCACCTGCTTTCATTCATTACCTACTCTGCTTTCAATAAAAGAATGCTGTTTGGCCTTGCAGTTATGCTATAACAATGTTATAATTTCACATTTGCATGAAATCTGTGCTCTTGAAGATATGATAGGTACATAATTTGACTTTTTTTTTTCAGTCACGGTTTATGCAAATAGCTTTTCAGATACCACTGCATACTCCTTCAGTTCAGCTGTCCATAACTAGTTTATCAACAGGCTGTTTATTGACAGCAGATTAATTAACACTTTATTAACACATTTCTGATGTGATCAAGTTTTAATTTGAATAAAACGTGATCATGAAAGAAAAATCCCTGATGCTCAACCTTCTGTTTGTTCTGTCTCAGTGACCTGGAGAAATCAGTGGAGGAGATCCAGAAGGAGTCGTCTGTCAACCACAAGCTGGTGACGGTGCAGGAGCTGGAGGAGAAGGCTACAGTTCTGAGAAAGCTGGGAGAAACACTCACAGAGTTGAAAAGTGAGTCATGCCGGCTCATCCCTCACACTATGCACTGCACAACACAGAAAATGATCGTTACGACTAGTAGTCAGTTTATTTTCTACTAATTACTCACCGAGGCGCTGATTATCTTTTAGTCACCCACAGCCAGTCTGCAATGTTTAATCACTCTTGCTTTGCTCACTGTATGAATGAACTTGCTGACCATTTGCAGTAGCTCAAAAAATAGACCATTTAATTAACATGAAAGGCTTTCAGTATCCTTGAGAGGTCTTTTGTAAAAGCATACCTGTTTTGTGTCGCTCTTCTGCTTTTTTACTACAGATCAATTCCCGAGCCTGCAGAGCAAGATGCGGGTGGTGCTGCGGGTGGAGGTAGAAGCTGTGAAATTCCTCAAAGAAGAACCGCACAGACTAGATGCCCTGTTAAAACGCTGCAAGACTATAACTGACACCCTCGCCACAATGCGCAAGTATGAAACTGCTCTGAAGGTGGAGAATAGCACATTTGGCAGCTTTAGGCTCAGACTGAAGTGTCGAGCAAGCCGATAGAGTGATGTGAAGAATTGTTTCCCTCTTGCAGATTTCTGTGGTAGCATTGGTTAAGCCAGCTTAGTAAAGGTTCACCACTGTTTCATTCTTTCTCCATTTGTGGATAATAGCTTTCACTGTGTTTTGTTGGCATCCCAAAGGCTTAGAAACGGGTTTTTAACCCCTTTTTAGACTGATAGATGTTGATGGTTATGTTTCTCATCTCTTCTTGGATTTCCTTAGGTCAGAACATATTGTATTGCTTCTTGTGGTCTTTTAGCTTTCTTCAAGAAGTAATCTGACTATAGAAACAACACCAGATAAATATGGCTAATCACAAGGATGAGTTATCGAGAGGGCAGTTATATTTACACATAGGGCACAGTTGGATTGGATAGTTTATTTTTTTTTCAGTGACCTCAATTTGAAACCATTTTGTCCATTTACCCAAAAGATATTTGTTAGATATTATTTATTTTTTTGATAAATCATATCTGACAGACAGGGTTTTCTCAGTTCATGTTGATCAATCAAAGCTTTTCTTCAGCAACTTAAACGTGGAGTTCCTCAGGCTGACTTTGAGTCCTCTCCTGTTCTAATTCTACATTTTACCCCTAGGTCCATCTTCAGAGTGTATAATTTCACCATACAATAAAGAATGATTTACTGAAAACTGTAATGGACTTTCTAAATAACTTCAAGCCCTGGATGCACTCAATTTTCCTCCATGTAGAATAAACAAAACCAAAATAGAAGTCACTTTGTTTGGGACTAGCGGCTCTGCAGACCCTGATAGTGCATTTGCCCGTCTAACATCTTTCAGTCAATTCATTGTTAAATAGTTTGAAGTAAGTTTTGACATTTCCCTTAAATTTGATATATTCTAAATAAAAAAATTAACTTTGATTTGAAATATTTAAGCATGTCAAATAGCATGCCAGAAGACTCCAAACTTTTAAGGGAAAAAAACATCGAGTAATGCTTTCTTCATGGCACTAAATGCAGATTTTAATGTATTTTATTGGCTTTCATTGACAATATTGTTTTATGAAGAAATAACACTATGAAATTTTAAAGAAAAGAAGCATTCAGTAATCATAAATTCCAGCTGAAAGTACTTTCAAAGCTATTTTTATTCTCATAAATATGCTTTGTGATTTTTAGGAAGAGTGAAGGAGATTTTCTTATCAGGATTAGTCCTGAAAAGCTTCTTAATAATCTTAATTATTCTCAGTAATAATCTTGTCACACTCAAGTTTAAAGGAAACATTTCACAGACTTGATTAAGGATTTTTTTTTCTTCCTTGTCTTGCCAGGCAAGCAAATGAAGGGGTTTGGAAAAAGCAGGACAACTTTTCTAGCCCCTCATCAAAGCACAATGACGACTTGCAAAAATTTTCAAGTTTTGACATTCCTACCAGTCCACCGCTAACTATCAATGACATTGGAGGAGGTAACAGCTTGTCTAACTGGAACCCTCACTCAAGCCTCAGCCGTAGTCTCGGAAACCCATCCGGTCCTCATAAGGACAATTATCCTCCTGTTCCTCACAAAGGCAAAGCCCTAGAGGAGTTGGAGCGGCGTGCTGCCGCTGACAAAGCTTTATCAATGGAAGTCCGACTGGTAAGGCAATTTCTTTAATTACATTTTTCTTTATTTCTCTAAAACTTATTCCACCCCAAATAAAGCTGGTGGAAGTTGTTCCAGCAGTGTCTGCTTATCTATGTGTCCTTTATATACCTGTGTTACTAGGTCTTTAGAGAGTTTATAAAATGAGCAACCATGGAGAGTTTGTTTACGGCTTAAGAATATGTGCACTGACACTGCTATCCACATGGGATCTTGTCAATACTCTGGCAGTAAAAAAATTTCACTAAATAGCTGAAACAAATAATCTACACTCTCCAATGAATAAAAAAATACCTACACTGGATACCTCCACGAATTAAGGCTCCCAGAAGGATAAAACGCACACACACCTCAAAATTGCACATATATCAGGTTGACAAGAGAAAGAGGAAAAGCTGAAGGCTTCAGTGCTAATGCAAAATGCCTTTGTCATGCTGTTAAAGAGAAGCACTGGTGTCAGAGAGGATAAGGAGGAAAAAGCACAAGCAGTGGCCCATAGGCCTTAGTATGTTATTTTTGTTGTGTTAAGTGCAACTCTGCTCACTGTGACTTGGGGGGGATCATCTCATGGTGATCTGTGGAAAAACATAAACACTTTTGGAATTTGATTCTTTTTAACTGCCCCTGCTAAGATATGCACTGTGCCAATTTAAAATAATTGCACAACATGGCACATTGAGTGCTGCACAGAAAACATCATGTGCTGCTGATCGGTTAATAAAAATACTGATAGTTGTGTATGTGTGTAAAAATACAATCCCCAATTATAAGATTACTTTATTCGCCATAATGCCAATAAATATTTCTCTACTGATTAATTTGAATGGTATAAATAATTCTCTCCATATCTTTTTCATCAAATGATTAAAAAACAACAACATTTTTTTAAATGAATTCTTATTTTACATCTTTTGAGAGAGACCTTTTTCATTTCCTATGAAAATATACATTTTGGATGAGCAAAAAAGTGTCAAATTATGAAAAGTTGCTGAATGCAGATGTGATACCCATGTCCATTGTGACTGGACAGCCAAGGAAGCTCCAGCTAAAAACCTATTTCGCCAGTACTGAAATGTTGGTATCTATAGATTTGCTTTCACACTGAAATTCAATTTTCCCAATTTGCTGGAATCCATTAACATCGGACTGGTCTTGGGGATTTTTATAGCCATCTGGCAGTCTTAATCTGATGTGAAACAGGCCTGAGACAACACTATTCTGGTTGCCGTCATTCACTTTACAGGCAGCAGAGCGGGACTGGGAGGAGAAGCGGGCCAGTCTTACACAGTACAGTGCTCAGGACATCAACCGCTTGCTGGAGGAGACCCAGGCCGAGCTGATGAAGGCTATTCCAGACCTGGACTTTGCTGCCAAGCAGATCAAGCCCTCTTCCAACACACCATCAGTCCAGAACCCTCAGAGTGCGGCGTCAACAACAGAGCACCGCAGTAGCAAGCCACAAAACAAGCTTTCAGCAAAAGAGGGGGGATCCAGGCGTGGCTCTGGTAAGGCTATGACTTTCAAAAGTATGAATCACTATATTTACTGCAACCAGTTTTGTTAACTTATAAGCTTCTCTATCATATTTTTTTTTTCACTTGTCCAGATGAGTTGACAGTACCACGATATCGCACAGAAAAACCGTCCAAGTCTCCTCCTCCTCCTCCGCCTAGGCGTAGTTTCCCTTCATCTCCAGGAGTGACATCTCGCAGTGGAGAGCCATTAATTCCTGGAAAAAGCATAAAGGTACAAGAGAAAGAAACCATCAAATCAATACAGTCTTATGAAAACTAATTTGTTCATTTGCTGAATATTTTCTGTCCTAATAAACAGAAAATATTCTTTGCTGCTTTAGATCATGTCTTAATAATTTTTTTGTTTTATTAGAAATCAGAATCTGAAGAGAATGACACTCAAAAGCCTCACATAAAACTGAGAAGGACCATGTCAGAAAACCCTCGCCCTGCATCGACACCCCCGACGCTCGCTTCTGGAGAGAAGGAACAAGGAGAGGAGGAAAAGATTGCTGCCGAGCTTGAGGTAAATGAAATATGGATTGTATATCAATTTGATTATACTTTTACTGTGATAATGTTGCTCAATCAATGGCCAAACTGCGCTTTATAGCTATGAACGTGACATCCAGTAAGTGCCGAGGGGTTACGAGAGTACATACACACTCTAAGGGCATTTGCAGATACGCTCATCATCATTACCACATGTTCAAGCACCAGGTGCCATATGTCCCTCCTGCCCTTGGCACCGAGAAAGCCCAAAGATCACATAATGCTCAGTCACACACATCATCAACCAGGACTCACAGACAGATGGACCCCAAGAGCTGTGTGTTCTGTGTTTAAGATGGGCTGCCTGAAAACTTGATGCAACAAAGACTTAATAATACTTGATTTGGATTTGTCAGTGGTTGTTGTTTTGTTACCGTGACGTTCTTTTAACCTCTGTTTTGCCTCTCCAGCTGTTTGAGAGAGCCCCAATAAGGCTCTCTCGCCCTACTTCACTTTTCCTCCCCGTTAGTCCACACGTCAGGAAAAACACTTCCCCCTCCAGGCTAGACGTGTCTCCTCTTGAGGCCTCTGAGGTAACACTCTTGCTGGCCATGAACAGTCTGGATTGTTCCCTTATGTCTCTTTTACTTCTTAACTACCTTCAGTGTAACTACTGCTCAGTTTTTGACCGCATGCACTTTTAACCTTCTCGGCTTAAGCCTCATGACCACACAACTGCTGCTGATTTTTTTTTGACATTCATGTGCAGACAAGAAAACCTAAAGCCATTTTGCACAAGCTTTACATTCATTAGAGGGTTAAACTGATAATTATCATGTGTGACTGTGCACTAATTGTATCTACCAGACTGTGTCATAATTTATAGCAAGATATCGCAAATAAATGTGTGACAAAACATTATTATTCAAAACTCAAGTCTAAAGTGGATGAGTTATGATGAAAATAAGAAGATAATTGCTATCTTAAACTTGCAAAAGCTTTTGGTCAAATCCGATTAAATACCTGGAAAACTTTTAAGCAACAATCCAAATTTTGGTCAATTTTTAAATTCAGTGTTTTTCAGATCCACTGTGTTCTTGAAAACACAGAATTTCCTGATTTAAGGACAAATAAAGAATTAATATTATGATTAATTCTGTTTTGAGAATTATGACTCCATCAAAATTGGTTCCATTTAACTCTTTGTGTGTTCAGGTTGAGAAATCTTATACCAATAAAGTGGGTTGTACCAATAAGATTGGCACCAGTGATCTCATTGAAAACAGTCACTTCATATTGAGAAATCCAGAGGAATGGAGACATAATTTTTCCTTATGGGAGGATCAACCTTTAAGTGAGAGCAAACGAACCTATCCTGTTTCCTACTTTTTTCCCTTGTATGTAATTTTTGTAATTAGGTCCCAAACTTACAGCTGCATGTATGCTAATTATCTATAATTACATACATACATATGCATTTATACATATGTCATATCTGTCAGGTTTTCTTACATTTTTTGTAGAGGTTTAACTAGTTGATGTGTTTCTATTTATACATTAAGTGCTTTCTTTATTTATAGGGAAGGAATTTATCTCCAGTCCCCCTCATCGTGCTGACAGAATGTTTGCCAGACTCACTCACTGCTGCAGAAAATTCTGTCAGAGATTCAACAAATTACCCTGTACAAGATAATCCAGCACACAATTTGCGCAATCAGCATATGGTCCATAAGAATGTGTTTTCAAGGGGAATACCTTCAGAAGGAAACAAATGTGTTCTCAAACAAGACCAAGAAATCTCCCTGCTTCTGACAGACATGGAGATGAGATGGGTGTCTCCTCACGACGTTCAAGAACTGAAGAGTATAGACCTTAAAACTCTAACTATTTCAGCACAGAATGAAGACATTTCTGAAGAAGAGCTGATTGAACGGCCTCTGCTTATAATATTCAGGGAGGGAAATACATTGAAAGATACATACAGACTGCTGTATTCCCTTCTAGAGTCATCCAATCCAGTTCCTAAATCAAGATCAAGATCCTTCCACCAACTGACCCAGCAACAATCCCTCATGGAGGCTCTAAGTAGAGGGATTGAAACAGGGGACGACGTGCTAACGTTTCAGCATACTGATGATGTTAGAGTACAGCAGAGTAATTGTGATTCTAAAAGTAGCTCATCTAGTCAGAAAAGGATGACGCAGGAGGTCCGACTCAGCACCTACAAGAGGCTGGACAGTTTGGAGGAGACTATTCGAGAGCTGGAGAACACCTTAATAGAGATCAGTAGCCATCCTACGAGAGAGACGCTCTACACTGAGTCAGCCACCAGAAGTATTCCAGCACAGCACACTGGGAGTCTGATGTCAGAGACCAGGAGGCCACCAGTTCCACCCAAACCAGCATCAATTCAGGTCCATTGTTTGTTGCTGCTGCTGTGCACATCTGTCACTCTGAAGCAGCATGGTCTGTTTTCCTTCTTCTCAGCAGATGACTACTGGAAATTCTCTTTCAAGCCTCTGATGTCTGCTCCCTGACTCATTCCGCATGTAATTTTATTTAAGATCAAAAATATGTACAAAGGACAGACAACAGACTCCCTGTCTTCTTCTCTTTCTGTTCTTCAAACTGGAGTTGCTCTCCTGCTGAGCCGTGCAACAGTAATTATTTCCCTTCCAAACTTCTCTGACACTTGCTCATTTCTCCTCTCCTGTTAAATATATTCATAGGTAATGCCTGAACTTTATCATTTCTATTTTTTGCTTATGAGCCTTGCCTTGAAATCAACTTCCTTTCCCTCCAGCAAAGCAGTTAACAATACAATCATTTAAATTTTTAACCAACCTTCAGGGCATATTTTACATTTTCCTAAATCGTGCATTAAAGGGTATTGCCACTGCATGTGCAATGAGATTTTTTTTGTACTGTTTTCACAAGGCAATAAAATACATTTGGGTTGCCTCTTTTACATAAGATTATTGAAGATAAAATTGTTTTGAGGAATTATTATGCAGAAAAACCCAAGTCTGTTTCCTATTCCATAGCCTAATATAGTTTATGACCATGTAATGAACTTCTTGTCCTCGGATATAATGAGCCGCCTCTTTTCATTTCACCTCCAGCTGACCGCAAAGTGACAAAAGCTTAGCAATTAGCAAAAGGCTTAAAGCATCCCTAGTACAGCTTTCTTTGTGCCAAGATGACTTGACGGTTTGCGTAGTATTGACTCTTGCCTGGAAAGCATCCTCCCACTGAAATACTTGACAGTCGCTGTCATAGCGAGTTTCAGCCCTCTGATGTGGAGCCATGGAGCGTTCCTACGGGAATGGCTGAGGATTACAGAGTCTTCACACATTATTTCATCACTCCAGCTTCAATCATGTTGATCATTCCAACAGAACCCTTCTCCCTATTCTGGTCGAACATGTGCTGCAAATTAAATTCAGACAAGAAGTCTCCCTTATTACTGAATTGTGGTTCACATTTTCAAAAAGAAATAGAAGTTGAACTTAAACCAAAGGACAGCCAATTTACTGAGTGTTAACAATTGGTCTAGTTCATATGTAGCTGGATATCTGGGAAAACCTATAAATTTTTATTTGGTTTGCCTTTAATCCACGCAAAAACTCAACTTTATATCACTGAAAACTATTATTCATAAAAACTGCAACCAAAGTGGAGATTTAACAAAACTCTGTATTTGTATTTGTTGAGAAATGGAGTTTTAGGGTCCCGCGCATTAGTCGCATTAGTCAGGGACCCATAATGCACCAATATATTCACACACTTTACAGTGATTCCCAATTGACATTTTCTTGTATTTTATTAACTGTATTTTCTAATTCATTATTTAAAAGTGTTTTGACCTAAATATTTGTCCCTTAAAGCTGATGAACTTCAATCAAATCCACTAATCAATTACAATTTGAGTCACAACTGAGTTGCAAAGGACACACAGGTCTGTTAGGAAACATTAGTGAAACGACACCATCATGAATGCCAAAGACCTCAGTAGACAGGTCAACTGTGGAGAAGTTTGGGCTACAGCAGGGGAGGGAGGTTACTAACTAAAATTAAAGTGGGAGAGTGTGTAGACCGTAAATCTATTGGTTGTGCACTTCAGAATAATGAGGTCAGTGGAAGAGTGACAATGCCACTATTTAATGAAAGCCATATAGACAGCTAGAACAAACTTTCTCATGCTTCCTTTAAAGAACACACCAAACATGTGGAAGAAGCTTCTCTCCTGTCAGAGGTGTCTAAACTAAACATTGCTTAAATGCAAAATAGTGTGAAACAAAACAAACCCTCTACATCACTTTGGACATGCTGGAGTAAAACACAGTGATAGGAGCACCATAATGTGAAGCTGCTTCAACTAGGAAAGTCAAGGTGGTCAGAGTTGATGGAAAGATGGATGGATCTATACTTTGGACATCCGTGGCATACAAGTTTGTAGTTGTGAACTGACAATGAGAAAGTTCAAGGTATTTGCAATGATACAATCTTTTATCTTGTGTCTTTGTGTGCAGAAGAGGCACAGCTGGATGGAAATGTGTATTTGTTTTTGTGTTTGTTAGAGGCAGTGAATTGTTTAGCTCAGTGGGGAAGATAATTAAGCACAGAGCTTTGCAGATCTTGCTGTGAAGCTAGATCACGTAGTGTCACTTTCAGTGCTGCTTTTCTATATTCTGTTCTGTGCCATTCTCTCTTGATAGAGGGTATTTTTCACTGAAGTGCATTTTCTCAACTTTATATCAACTATCTTCTCAAATCTTTAAAGAAAAAATCCTCCTTGTCTCAGGAGACTGGTTTGCTTGATGTAGTCAAACTCTTTTCAAGTAAATTTATGTCAATGGTTGAAACAGACGGTATTGTAGAGAGGAAGTGAAATGTATAAGCAGGTCTGTATTAAATTGGCTTTCTGTTCTGCTTTTCTCTGTCTTGTTTTTCTCTCAGGGTGGGAATAATCCCAGCATTGGTAAAATTCATTCCTCAGCTGCCTCAAAGCTGAAGCACCTGCAGCAAAATAGCACAGAGAAGACTAAAGGTGGCAAGAAAGAGGACTTACAGAAGATGCAGAGCTTGCAACAGGTATTATCTAACCATTAGCTCTGATTTTGATAAATCATGTTGAAGATTAGTATAATAAACCCTTCTTAAAGGCAAAATTAATGACATTGGTCTTTGCTATGTGATTTCTATACCCATATACATGTAAGCCTTGAAAGTTGTTTAAGTACTAAGATCGTGAGCATCTATTTCTGGAACCCATTGTTTTCTTTTTTTTCATTCACCACTCAAGAATAAATTATTTCCTTGACCGTTACATCATCTCTACACAAGTGTTGCACGTCCTCGGCATGCTTCACCCCTCAGCTAGGGAATATGACTTCATATGACAGGTTTCAGCAGGGACTGCATGAATTTAAAACCATTTTTGGAGAATACACATAAGTTGTTTGATACCATGGACTGATGCATCAGACAAGATGCTGGGCACAAAATTGGGAACAAAATGATTCAACTTTTAGCTCATTGTCTTTTAGATATTACACTATCAAATAATTGGGGTGGGAAATAATTATTATGAAGTCTCTCTTTGTAGGGATTTATATTTTAATTAATGGAAACAGACTGTTAACCAAAACTCTAGAAAAAGCATATGCTGTGAAAGTTGTACATGGTCCAGTCCCACAAAAAAGTATTTCTTTTTATTTCTTTTATTTTGAAATGATTATTTTATTATATAATGGAAAAAGTCATTAAAACCAGCCCGGCATTGGGTGAAAAGTAATGACTCCCTAACCACCATCCCTGATTATGTCACCATTGGCGACAACAACTTGCAACTTTAATTCATTCTCGTTAGCAGTTTTTCAACCAAACATTTCCGGTTCAAGGTATATTGTCAAAGTTTAGGACGTAAAACTCCTTTATTTTATATTTTGGGGATTCAATTTTTTAGCTTATCTCTGAGTTTAACAACTAGAATTATTTTTAACTGTAGGATTTTCTAAAAGAGAGGTGAATTCATGGTTTTATGAATTATGTCAAGTCATCCAGATACAGAAGCAACAAAGGACCCCAGATCATCACCACCACCCTGTTTCACTGTAGTTATGAAGTTCTTTTCATCAAATCCTGCATTAATGTTACACTAGATGATGGTGCTGACAAATCATGCACCATGAAAGTAATTTTGGTAAGCCAAGTTCTCCTGTGAAGGTTCATCTCCTGCGAAGTGTTTTTCTACTAATAGAAACTGATTGAATTCTGGCTTTTACAACTTTGGCAACTTTTTGAGAACAATTTTTGGTCTGATTTTAAAATAGTGTTTGATCAAAAAATATTTGTGACCAAAAAAGACGCTTCCATTGTTCTGTAGTAAAACTTCTAGAAAACATGACTTAGTGGAGAAGCTTGTAGTTTGTCACCAGGTTTGTTGACAGTTCTCCTTCTTTGTTAGACTGTCTGTAGATGCTCATTTGATGGTTTGGTTGTAGGTTTTTGTAATTGTAATGCTAAAAGCCTCTTCGGACTGAACATTTTGTTTGTGCATGAACAGACTTACAAAAATATTGGTTGGTTCAAATTATTATTTTCCCAAAGCACTATTAATGGACTGCTTTTAAGAGGTGAGAAAACATGAGTGCAATTTTATATTCTTTATACCATTTTAAAGCTATTTTAGATAAATGTTGTTATACGTTTGATCAATAGTTGTCCCTGCAGGGTTTTTTTCTTTTTTATATTTGAACTTGTTAGCATTTAAAGAGGTGATGTAAAGTAAAGACCTGGACATGAGGATGCTAGATGGTCTCCAGAGGCTAGGAAATTAAACCGCTGAAGCATGTCGGTCGAGCAAAGCTGGGAGAAGATTCTTGCCAGTGTATGGGGGCAAGAAAAGCTTAATGTCAATGTAATTTGAAAAATAACAGAAGCAGTGAAGTGCACCTAAACCTTCATAACCCAGAGCGCTTTCAGACTCAAAAGTAAGTTTTGTAGATTGCAGAGAAATGAATGTGTTTGGCAGAGAGAGAGATTTGGGAGATGGAGAAGTAATGAGGCTTTGGTCTCTTCAAACTGAGAAGATTGGGAAGAACCTCTGCAGTGCTGAGTAATAACCGCCACTCGAGTCACTGGCAATCACAGATGATTTAATATGAAGAGGGCGTCTCTCTTTCCGTCATTAAATCTTTTACATTTCTCCCGCTTTATGTCTCTTCTCCCCCTTTTTCAGCTTCCTGTACTCTTCAATTTACACAAGCATCCCCTTTTTTCCTTTTCCATCATCCTTTGTTGGTTTTATTCATTCCCTCAGATTTGAAGGCTGAGTAGATGCCTACTCTTGTCAACTGAAAGGGAAATTAATCCTATTATTTCAAAATGACACTGACACTGCACAGTCTCTTTTGTGCATAAACTGTTCAAAACAGCTATTGTGAAAGACTCTGGATGTGTGAAAGCAGTATTCTTAGAGGGGCTTTGGACCCTCAAAGCTAATTGTCCGAGGACAAAACCGGTGCCAAAGCAGTTTACATGCCAGTTTAGTACAATTTTATGGTTAATAAAAAAATGAAACAATTGATTTAAACTAAGAGAAGAAAAAAAGAGGCAACTTTGGCAAAATTCATTTGTTGCTTTCTATTTTATAGGTGGAGAAAAGTAGGCATTGTGAAGGTAAAGTAAGAATTGTTGAGCAAAGACTATCAGAAAACTATCTTTTGGAGAATAAAGCGTTGTATCCAGTAAACTGGCAGAGAGATCTGGATGGGAACTCCCTTATCCTTATTCAAACCTGAATGATTTTTATTCTCCACATTTTTCTGATCTGTCAGCCCAAACTCAAAGATAATTCTGTCAGTCACATATATTTTGGAGCATGGACAAGCTGATTCTCATCAATTCATAAAGTAATACACTAGCTTGCAAACTTCCAACCAGTTTTATATAGTAACACTTTTATTGAACTTTTCTTAAATTTGTTTTTCCAAATTGACAAGAGCAACATGCTCTTTTCGCATCTTATTAATCCAACTAAAAACCAAAATACATTAAAAAATATGTCAAAAACAACAAAAAGTATTTGAGGGATAAACTTCTGCATCATGTGCCAGAACATTAGCATTTTAAATACGGGTTTATGGGTCAAACTATGCATCAGTTCCAATTAGGACAGAATGTTGTTGTACCACTTGCTGGTTTTATCTGCCACATTGAACTAAGCAACTTCTTTACCAATTTTCTACATTGATGTGTAAAGAGTTCTCAGCTAGTCTCGTCTTTTGCTGCATAAATTGACAATAAAACATTTGTTAAAACATCTAACATTTGTTTTGACAACATTCAGAAGTATAGAGAAATTCTAGATGAACAGCAATTGACAAAAGTAGTAATGTCACACTTACTGGATTTTTTTGTTTCACATGGTAGCTTGTATACCTTCATGTGTGCCTTGGATATATTTATGACAAGACACAAAGAGGAATTTAAGAATTCCTCTGAAATTGAATGCAAGTTTGTTTTTCTGCCTTCAAGCCCAATGGGGAGGACTGTGAGAGGAGTAAAAACATCTCCAGGGCTTCTTGTTAGTGAACAGTAGATCTGTTGTTTGGGAAAGCATGCCATTATAAAAGCTTTGTCTCCTATCATCACAAATGTTTGAAGTTTGCTAAAAGTTACTGGGACTATAAAATGAACCATGTGCTTTTGGAAGATCAGATTGAGCTGTAATGTTTTTTTAACAAACACCCCATGTTTGTTGTTTTATGTTTGGCATAAAACGCAGGATAAATATTGATGGAAGTTCCTTTTGCTTGCAGGTTGGACTATCTAGGATGGTGTTGGCCTTTTTCTCATTTAAAAACTCGAAACTTTATTCAAGTACAAGCCATCATAACTCTGTTTGCAAAAACAGGACATTTTAAATGAGGAGGTCTCTTTCAGAAAATTGAAAATGGGTGGTTGGTAGATCATCTGGTGATGATCCAAAAATTATAGCTGATTCAAAATAGACCCAAAATCAACCTTCTGCAATGGCCATCTCATTCTCATGACCTAAATATTTTCAGAAAGCTTGAAGGGTAAGCTGGAAAGGAAATTAGATCAACCAGAGGCCAGTCAGGACTCTGACGGATCTACGGAGATCTTTTATAGAGGACTAGTCTCCCTTTATGCTTTCTAAAGTTTTATAAAAGTACCAGTAGTTGTGCCATCACTGATTTAGTCAAAAACAAATTTCTCTTAATTTATTTTCCCCAACTAAATAAACATGATAAAATTAACACAATGGATTTTCCAAAAATGTTCAGCGTGTGATTATTCTAATGGAATTTTTAAAAGTACACATTTCTCCAGTGAGAAATGTGGAGGCACCGAGTTTCTCTTCTCCTTGAACCCCCTGTCAGTGGGACTAATGCATTTCAAGCATGAGGACCAATCAAATCAATATGCTCAAGTGCTAGAGTTCAAAGCTCCTGTTTCTCCTCGTTTGCTTTGCCACAGATCAAGGAGGGCATGACAATGGCATAAGTTTCACGCCTCAAACCATCCAATTCTCCGTTTGGCCTTACATGGCTCCCGACAGTAAAACATGCTAGCTGTAGGTGATGAGCACGAAGTGGGGCTAGTGGGGACATACCATCCCGTTTGGCAGGAAGCTGTGAAAGTGCAAAACAAGGAGGGAAATCTCCTTCACAGACCAGCATACCAGTTTGAGTCAGGTATGAGAAAAATATCTCAAGCAGAGCAAATGTAAATCTCTCAGCTGGCTATATTTCCCACAACAAAAGTCTTTGACATGTTTTCCCCTTCCTTGCTCTTTTGAAAAAGTGACAAAACTTTCCTAACTAAACTTTTTTTTTTGTACCCCATTCCATTCGGTGTATTTTGTACACTCTGTGCCTTGCACTTACAGCATGTAAAAGGTTCCTGTCACATGCATTCACATCAGCGCCCGAGAAACAAAATCATCTTCAAAAATGCATTTCCCACAAGTTTCATTCTGTTGAAACAGTGCCATCTACTGGCCGAAACATTAATTATTTGAAATAAAATAAAGGCGTGGCTCTGCATGTTCATCTGAGTGTGTTGCGTTTTCAAAGAATGAACATCATAGAAATAAGCTAAGTAAAGGTAGTCAACAGTGTAATATGTCTTTTTTTTCACTGTTGCACCTTATTAGTGGGATTAGTGGTTCTGTCATCATGTACAGATGGTGGCCTGTGTCTTGGCTTTCATCACACATGCTGATATCAACCTGAATAACAATCTCCTGTGTTTGTCTCCTGTTCTCACTCCCCCTCCTTTCCCGTCCACAACATGTTTTCTTCTGATACTTCATCAATCCTGGCCCCCTTGTGTGACCCTGTGCTGCCCTTCACCTCCTGACCTGCCTGTCTGCTCCAACCATTACCCTGCAGCAGTGAGCGACCTGTCCCCTCATCCAGCCTCTTCAGTCTCCTCCTCCTTTTCACGTGACTACAAAGATGCACACTTATTTGCCCACTTTACTTAACCAGCTCCTTTTACATCTCTAGTATTCAGTCCAAGTTGTGCTTAGACGGGTGTGAGTGTGTTTGTTTGTGCAAGCATGTATGCTTGCACAGGTGTGTTTGAATGCCCTGGTGAAGGAAATTGCTACAGGGAACACTGCCCAGCCACAACCAATTTTAGAACTTTTAAATTTTTCATAATTTCCCACTTCAGCCCCCTGAAAACCTCATCTCTCTGTGCTCCTCCTTCACCCCCTCCTGTCTTCTGTGTCCCTGCTCTACTCCAAGGCCTTGGGGATCAACCGTGCTGGAACCACTGAACCGTATTTGAAAGCGAGCATTTTTTTAGGCCGAATGCCTACTCCTGCAGCAGCTTTTGCACCTGGTTTGAGAATGCCCCCCCATGAGGGGATACCCTCCCTGACAGTCTCCTCCAGCCAAGCAAAGGCGCTCCTAGCGAGTCTGTCAGCCTCCGGCCTCTGCACCGAGGCTCTGCTCCTTTCTTCCGCTCTACGTCAACGCCGCCTTCTCCGGGAGCAGAGAGCATCATCTTCTCTTCCCAGCAGCCTGCCCTCCACCCCTACATCTTCCTCTTCTCCCACAACCCCTACTCCATCCCTGTCTCCTTCCTCTCCCACACCTTTTGGTTCCTTTACCTTCTCCTCTGGGGTTGTCAAACCCACCAGAAGGAAGACTTGATGGCCCCCAACAACTCAGCAACAGCAAGGATGGTGACAACTCTTAGTAAAGAGTAATAGGAGGAGGAGGACATGGAAGAATATCATTCTAAAATTATCTTGTCACATATTTCCTTTCAGGATTCTGTAGATGCATATTTTCTTCATTTTTTTTCTTACTAATGTTGAATACACCAGACTGGATGCTTCATATTCTCACTCCTTTTTCTTTTTTGGACAAGTTTCCTTCTCTCGTCTGGCTGCATGGTCTCCCACGCAGTCCTTTTGCCAGATTCCCCAACAGAGTGCACACAAACAGGCCAGGCCTCGCTTTTCCACCAGCTGTCTGCTACAAGGTTGGTGTGGTTGGACATGTTCTCATTTAGTGAGCTGTCCGTGGTATAGTTTCCATAACTAGACTGTGTGTATGAAAGTAGAGTCGCAATAATCACCAAGTGAGTCCAGTAGTTACATATGTTTAGGATAATGTTGCTCTTTTTTACCTGCATAACCTTGCAGAATAAATCTGCTGAGAAAATAAGAAAAAAGACAGATGTAATGAATTTGGTTTTGAACTGTTTGTTGCAAAAAGGGCATTCTTTTCTTTTCTTGCATCAACCAACTTTTAGATTTTAAATTGGTGCTATATTTTGCCTTCTGTTAGAACTCACAGAGTTTACATAATTGCTCTTCCTCCTCTGCACATTCCTTTGGGTTTCTAATTTAATGTTGCGGTTCAAATTTTGTATGTATCTCTGCAAATGAAACTCATGCATCTATCATTGTTAACATTTCTAGCCTTTTTAATCTGTTGGGAACAAGAATATTGCAGCATTATTCACAAAAGCACACTGTTACGAGCAGCCATGAATCTTCATATTTCTGTTTGATATAAAGCAAGGAGACAAAGTTACACTGAAAGAAGGGGAAATACAAAGGAGGCTCTATATAACCAATGTGGATTTACTGTGTGTGTGGTGTAACTAGTTAATTGACAATCAGGATGTCTTCACTGTAACATCTCACAGGTTTCCCATCCCAAAGACTCAAGCACGCCCTTGTAAAGCTAAGCTGTACAGCACAGACACAATGTGTGTGTAATAGTTTTATTTCATTTTGTTAATCTTATACAAATCTATACTGCCCCTCGGATGAAACTGATCACAGCGATCAGAACATTTCACCCAAATAAAATAGTTTCCCATTGATATGGTTACTTCAGGATTATCTGCCAAAAAGCACCCATATTTTATCATACTGTAGTTTGTACTTTATCTTTGACTCCAAAGAGGTGGTAGCACTTAATTACTGTTTGAAATGTATTTTTAAAAAATACGTTTAATCAGCACATGTTTAGAAATTATGTATTTCTTGGCGCTTGTGAGGGAGTCAGAGATTATAAAATGTAAAGAAAGCACAGTTCAGTCTCAAAACACAAGATCCCTCATTAGCTTAGTTATCAAATATGTTAGGAGGCTTTAAAATGTTAATTTACTGAAAATGAGTGAAATAGGAACAATATAACTTTACAATTATTTTATTTCAAAAAATATGAATACAAGAGTCTTTTCAAACTAGCATTTAGACACAAAAAAGGACTGGAGAACCTTTTGCCAAGAACATCGATCTAGTGTACATGTTATTGTAAACGGGTGTGAAGGTATTATTGATGTTAAACAATATACAGATGCATCACAATAAGTGAAACTCATATAAAAACATTAGAGAAAGTAAAATGTATCTGACTATTATTTCTGTTAATTTTGATAATTTTGGCTTACAGCAATAAAAATCCCCAATTTTAGACAGTTGGAATGAAACAAAAGACACAGAACAGAGTCAGTCAGAGTTAGTCTTAAGAGAACTTTGAAGCAAATCCCATTTAAGTGTTTTATGGAGATTCACTTGGTGGTGTGGACTTCACTGGAGTCATCACATGTCCAGAAATTTCTCTAGTCACTTTAATCCAGAACTACAGACATAATCTTCTTCTTAGAAAAAAAAAGACCTGGCTGTTGTTCGGCTGTCCAATGTCCTACTTCACATCAAAGTCAGCTATCTTCTTAATGGATATTGGTCCATTATGTAGTTATCAAGTCAAAGCCAGCACAGCCATCATCTGTATCACAGCATTTTATATGAAAGAGTGAATTGAATTTTGGGGTTTTTAATAGCTGCTAACCATACCAAGATTAACAGAACTATACACTTCAATACACTTTAATAAATTTTTATGAGTTTCACTTTTTAAACTGAATTACTGAAATTTATTTACATTTACATGATATTGTTATAACAGAGATGTGCCTGTATTAAATGATTTTCGATGTCTGCAAGTTGATGCGAAATTTTAAATCATGCTTATGAAGGAAGACTTTGTGCTAAATTGGTTTGTTGCCATCAGAAAGGAATTTTTGTTTAGTTGTTGCAGTAATCATAAATTATTATTCCATTTTATTCTTACTAAGGCACATGATAGGTATTTGTCAAATAACCTGAATTAGTTGCAAAAAATGTCAACTACTTCAATATAGGTAATGTCTTTATTACTTCTGAAGCTCAAATCACAATATTAAAATTATTTGTAAATTTAATAATTATGGTAATTTCCTTTTTTTTTGTCTCAAACTTTTTGGGAACAAGGGTTTAATGCATGCATTAACTCTAATGAGCACAAATATATAAATTACACAGTTCATCAGTCTAGTTTTGACTTTCACTATCTTGGGTGGCTGGTGTTTCTCTGGCTGCTGTTTATTTACAACAAATCACAGTGGGGGAGTTTTTCTAATGTAGATCCTTCATAATGAACCATTCCATAGCTATAGGATCTTTGTGTTTGCTTGAAAGCTGCCTTGCTGTTTGTTGACAAGGTTAAACGGACAGTTGCACTTTCCTTCTGTTCTCCGGAATGGCTCAAAGAAACTGATCCTCTTGGGCATTGAGATTAACACATGTGCAAAGGCGGCTCGTGTCAGAGAGTAGGCGGCGTGAGGAGCGAGGATTAGTTTGAGGACATGAGTTTGAAGGCTATTTTAATAAGGCCAGCGTTGACTCGCCCCGTCTCCATGGAGAGCGCTGGAATGAAAGAATAAGTGTCAGTCGGAGACAGTATTCGGCTGCTTGTTCCCCCTTGCTCTCAGTTTGCGTTCTTTTTGTGTGCGGTCTGTTAAAATCGGTTAGCTTCAGGTTAAGGTGGTATGATTTCTGATGAGGTTCAGTTCTAAGCAAGATGTGCAATATGTATTTAGCACTCTTACTCTTTTACCAAGGTATTCCTCTTTGCCTTTGTCATATTTATGCCTGTTTGTCTCCAAGGACCTGCAATGTTTTTTCCTGGTGCCTGAATGATCTTGCAAGCAGCACTGACAGAATAACACTTTTACCCAAATAAGAGCTTCAGAAACCTGGTTTGGTTCCTGTTTTTTTTTTTTATTGTTTGTTTGTTTTGTTTTAAAGAAAATTGAAAACTGCTTGAAAGCACAAATGTGCGAGCTCACAGCCTCATTGTTAGTGCATTCTGGATCTGTAAGGAAGATTCCAGCTGAGTTGAATAGAGGAAAGGAAATCCTTAAAGCAGTAACTTTCCTATGTGGTATTTTAGCCTAAGTGAAACCAGAGAATCATATTAAAATGCCTCCTGGACTTTTTTGTTGCTCAAAACAAGTGTTAGTGGGCTGTGATTTCAACAGGCTTGGGGGCATGTTGAGCACACTCTGGCAATCAGAAAAAAAAACCATGCAAACTTGAAACTAAACATAGGAGAACTATACATATATAAATATATCTAAGTGAGATGTTTGTGTATGATATAATTGTGAAAAAAAATGTGAATATATACATAAATATTTAGGCCTAGATTAAGTTCTATACTGTAAAATGTCCTCATATCTTCTGATTTATATATTAGTGACCATTTTGTACAAATTTTTCTTTTTTAATTCATTCAGAGATATTACATTTCACACTAAGATTATTTATTCATATGCAGAACATTTTTATATTGTTTAAAATAGCTGTGTAGATAACTGTTAGGCGCTGTAATATACTTTAAAGTTAATTTTGAAATTCTAGGGTTTTCTTTACAAATAATGAGTTGAGCTTTATGTAATTATGACGATTTAAAAAGCTTTTCCCTGAAAATACTCGTCCAGCTTGTCTGCACATTTGCCTCCTACTGTTAAAGTGTGAGAGGCTGGACCAGTGCCTGTTAGTAGGGGCTTATTTTGCTACTAGGTCTGGGTTATTTTGTACGTGTTTTTCTTTTTCTCATTTTATTCTGCCATTCTGTATTTGTGATCTAAATGGTATTAGTGACACTGGAGATGGTCAAAAACACAGAAAATGTAGTACTTACTGTGACACAATTCCAAAGGCTTCAAAAGAGGTCTTGCTGCTTTGACTGAAGCAAGTTACTTGGCTTTAATTCTCTTTATTTTACTCTCTTTTTTTTTTTGTTTGCATGTTAATTGAGATGGCAGGAATGTGGATTAAAAGGTTTAGAGACTATAAGTGTACATTATGTTGCTTATACTGCTCCTGTTTGTGGCTTTAAGTAGCGTTTAAGCTAAACTTTTAAAATGGTAAAAGACAGATTTATTAACGAATCATGTGGAGAACTATGAAGTCTATGATTTTGCATTTGTATTTCTTTTCTGATGCTTAATCTACATTCTTTAGTATGTATCTGAGATTTTTACTTGAATGTGTGGATGTTCAAAAATCTTGGCATCAAACATAAATAAAAAATAATAACAAAATTGACTTGTAAATAGGTTGAGTCATAGAGAGTTCACTGGATTATGTCCAAAAGATAATCTTTTATTATAAACTATGATGATGGATACAAAGGTATATACAAAAACAATGCATGTATAGTCTCAAGCAAACGCACGGTGCAGTTTAGAAAAAAAAAAAGAAGTTACGTACAGTTCATGTTTTCTCAAAGTTATAAGAAACAGTCAGAGAAGTGGGTATATATGTTTGAGGTTTACAACCAGAAACGATGCATTATTTTAGTATGTGTGACACGGGCATGTTCAGTCTTACTGTGAAGTTACGTAATGACGATAGTGACTGGGAGTGTTGAACATCCAGGGATCAGAAGGCTTGAACGCACCTCAACATGAGAAATCAGCTACGATTCTCCCATTTGTAGAGTAGTGTGACATAAGAACAAAAATAACTACAGAAAATAGATCAATTATATGAGATATATAAAATTTAAATGCCTACTGAAACTGGAGATAATTTTATCAGTGTGGATGCCATGATATTTTGTGAGAACTGTGTGTTTGTTTGTTTTTTTTCTGTGAGAAGACAGCAGGCACCTGAACCTGCCTTCTTTTGTACATAATTTGCTGTGATTGTGTGTCCAATAAAGTGCAGCCCTCTTGTACAGTCCGATCTTGCTTTATTCCTTCTGCTTTAAGACACATGAGTCACTTCTTGGGTCATAAAAAAAAGCAAATACAAAATACAGTGGTTACAGAAATGTTTACTTTAAAAATAAGTCATGATTTTTTTTAAACAGTCTTACAATTTTAGAGCATACAGGTATAATCAAGAAGCGTAAAAAAGGTTGAGATTGTCTTGATGAATGAACGGTGAATTTATTGGTGAAAATGTTGCATTTTCTGTATTTACATAGCTAAGTAATACTAAAAATATAGTTAATACACAATGCCAAATGACTGACGCTGTTCATGTTATATTGTACATACATCATATTCTAAAAGCTAGATATAGTTGCTTGTATATTTCAGTGTATTTCATGCCGATTCATCAAAATCACTTAAAATAAGCCAAATTGACTCAAGTTTCTTGGCGCTGAGCTGGGCGACGACCGTCTGAGCGTCTGTAAGGCGCTGTCCTCAGATCTGATGAAAAGCGACAACAAGCAAATTGTGAAAGTAGACCTTTATCTACACTTTGGTGTAAAACTCTACAGTGTTTCTTGTTACTGTACCTGTAATGATATCCTCCAGAGCACCATCTTTTCCCTCTCGTACCGGAGATTTCACTTGCCTCTTCTTTAACTCTGCTATCAGATCCATCTTTGGCATCATGGGGCCCTTGAAAAAAGACATATATTGACATTATAATTGAAAGTGTTTCGGGGTTTGTTTGGCTATTTTTACACAAAATTATCACATCACTGATTCAGAGTAATATATTTGAAACATCTGTGTTAATTCTCCTATTTACAGATTACTGTTAATAAAAACTCAGTTTCTCAGACAATTATAGTCTAGAACAGACTCTTGATTGGATCTCATTTGCATCAATTACTGCATTAATCATTTGTTGCATAGATTTGTCAGCCTGTTGTGTTGCTGAGTGGTTTAAAACACTTCACTTTGTATTAATAATGTCCTTCATCTTGTCAGAGACTCCAGGCACACCCCATGCTTGACAATCCTCCACCTTTGCTGCACAGTCTTTTGATGGCTGTTTCAATAGCAGCTTTTGCTACCGCACCTTTTTCTTCCACTAAACCGTTCACTGTTATGCATAAATGCATCACTTTGTGAACTGCAGGCTTCTCTAGCAATGACATTTAGTTGCTTACTCTACTTATACAGGATTTCACAGTCTGTCTGCTGTAAAACTGTCAAGTCAGCAGTCTTGCCCGTGATTGTGTTGGCATGCTCATAGCATGAAATCTGTGTATTTAAAACCTGTTTATATTTTATTGGTTTCACATTATATTCTAATTTCCCAAGAAATTTAATATTAAGGTTTCTTTCATATTAGATCACAATGACATAAATGACATAAACAGGAGCTTGAACAATTTCAGTGTCCAAGAAATCTAAATATAAGATTTCCTTGAAATGCTGACAAATTTACTTCAGAGATTTCAGACTTTATGGGGATGCATTGTGGAATTAATACTTTACAATAGGAAAGAAATAACATAATACAATCATACAGAGCACAAACAAACTTGAATCATTCAAAATCTCAGGAGTTACTTTCTTTGAGGTTTATACTGAATAGCTATTGTTTTAGAGAAATTCTGTAGTAACCTCAAAACCTTCAGTAATCCAATCATTTTAATTAATCATTCTATATTTTTGATGTTTCATCTTTTGTTGGATAAAAAAATGATGCAAAGTCTTCAGAGAATAATCAATTCAATAAAAAATCTGATAGATATTTTAATTTTTTTTTATTTTTAGAACCGTTATGTTACAAATGTTTAACTACAGTGACAAACAAACTACCACTAGTATCACGTTTTTGTTTCTGGCTACAATTGAACACATTAAAAAATAAATGTTAGCAAATTGTTAAGAAATGTGGGCACAAACTGGGGATGAAGTGAACTGACTCTGAGCTGAAATAAATTCAGATTAAGCAGAGGATTATATGTTTTATATGGATGATACTGATGTGCTACTTTTACGGCAAACTTCTGTGATAACTGTAGTGCCCTTGGCAGCCCTCTGCTGTTGTAATCCTGTCTCTGTCTGGAAATGTTTAGTTTGAGACAGTCTATGCTGTAAATCAACAAATCGGAGAAAATCTAAAATCTTCCAGTCAACATCATTTCTAAGAAGGGATCTTCTTACCTTTTGTGCTGCAGGCTTGTTTGGAGCTGGTGCTTCTTTTTCCTCAGAACTCTCCCTTTCCATTTTCTTTTTCAGCTCAATTTCTTGCAGTGCAGTCTGCATTGAAAATACAGATAAGGTTATTGGCATGAAATGAGCTGTTGTAGAAATGGATCCAACAAAGACCTCACCTTATAAGCCTTTATGAAGCGCCCAAACAGCGGGAAAAACATGGAAGGCTGCGTGGTTTTGGGATTCTCTCCAAAATACTCCACGACAGAGGCATAAGCCTCCTGGAGGGATAAGCACAAATGTTTGTAAATATAATAAACATATTACAAGCTGTTTCATGGGATCATAATTACAAAATTCCAACCTGTGCCGACTTGCTGTCTTTGATCAAAGACTCCAGGTGCTCACTGTTTGTTTTGATGAATTCCTTTAACACCAGGCTGTCATCCTGCACCAGGAACTCCTTCTTGGTCATCTCCATTCCTCGCTCCAATGACCGGATATCCTGGAGAATACTGTCCAGGGATACTGGCAAAGAAAAACGATAGTTTTAATAACACATTCAGACACTAAAAAATGTTAGCTAATTGAGGTGTATCTATGTACCAAGAGCTGCTTTGTCTATAAAGTGAAGATCGGTGTGGAAGTTGACCAGGTCTGGGTATTTTTCAAGGATGATATTAGTGATGAACTGAAGTAGCGTCTGGGAGCGGTCGGTGGACTTGGTCTCCAACAGCTGAAAGGTGACATAACAGGTTTAATGTTTAGTGCAAACACACGAGTAAATCTACAAAGCAAAGCTACTTACAAGGTCAAGACTCTGTAGCCTGAAACCGTAGGCCGCACCTCTCTTACTGCTGTTCATGTAGTTACCAAAGGCGAGAACAATCTGAAAGAAAATGCATAAGTTGAATGCAAAATCTCACACTTCGGAGTCAGTGTATCCAGGTTGACTTACTTCTAAGATCTTTTTCAGTTTAGCTGAAGACTTGATGGACATGGAGGCAGCAATGATGGAGTTCAGTTGCTGTGAATGAAGTGAAAACACCATAAGTCCATTTGGTTTGAGCCTATTTCAGCTGAAGTTTTAGTGCTTTAACCACAAACTGACTGGCTGCAGGCGTTTGACACTCTCTGGGAAGTTGCCCATGAAGGTAAGCGTGTTTATTCGCTGGTTTAGACGGGCGATCTTCCCGAAACGTAGAATGAATTGGTCTTCCTTAGTCAGCTCCTCCAGTGGACGGCCTTCTTTCTCATAGTTCACAAGAAGTTTCATCTCAAAGTCTGATGGGATGAAGTGCTCAAGTAATTCCAGGAAGTCTATGGCCAGAGACTGTTGGTCATACCTGTACAATAGATGGACTAGCATCAAAGAGAGCAGTGAAAGGGACAAGAGGAGACTTATTCTGGGAAATAGAAGGACATACGTCTCTATGGCTGTGCAGATAGCCGATGGGTCCATTCCACCCTTGCGGAGAGTGATGGCTAGATTCTTGGCCTTGTTTGCGTCAATAAGTGATGTCTTGGTAGGAGCCTTTTGTGCCACCTTTTTCTTAACCTTGGATAGATCTGCAGTATTCCCCTGTGCCCTTGTCTTGAACTGTTCCTCAAATATTTCCATGTTCAGCTCCTTGTAGGGACAGAATGTTAGGCGGAGATAATTAATTATTTTATTACAGGACCAATTTAAAGTGCAAATATTGAAAGTCGCAAAATCTCACCCCTAGGATCTGTTCATCATCTAGCTCATTAAACACTGTGCCAGTTACTTGGTTTGGTTTTAAAGCCTGCCAGTTCAACAAAGGCATCCTGTACTTGGTCTGAATTGCCTTCTTAGTCTTGAACCCTGACCAAACATAAACAGAAAGTGGTCAACACAAATCAGGTTATGAGCTTTAGTGAGATTTTTCCCATTTGTCTCAATGTCCTCACCAGATTGGGCATTTGGAATTCCAGGAGGAGGTGGGGGTCCACCACTTGGTGGAGGAGGAGGAGGTGGGGGTCCACCACTTGGTGGAGGAGGAGGAGGTGGGGGTCCACCACATGCAGCACCAGCTGGAAGTGGAGGAGGTGGCGGTGGACCTGCTCCGGATGGGGGAGGAGGAGGTGGAGGAGGCGGAGGAGGAGGAGGTGGAGCAACTGTACTTCCATCGGATGGAGGAGGAGGAGGGACAGGAGGAGTTGTGATCTCCCCTGGACCACCAGTTGTGGTGGGTGCTGAGGTTTGGATGCTTGGTTCGATGGAGGAGGACGGGCTTTGGACATACTCAACAACTTTCACAGGCACAACCTGGATGTCGAGGCCTCCTGACGGAGTGCGTCCGAGTTTGATCACCCCCTTGTCCTGCAGCTCCTGAATCTTCTGCTCAAGCTCAGATTGTGACTGACCAACAGAGGAGCCACGACGCTCCCGGTCCAGCTCCCGCTCCCTGTCCAGCTCCCGCTCTCGTTCTCTCTGCTGCAAAGAGCTGACCTGGGAACACGACTCACGGAGGCTTTCCTGAAAGAGGCACACACAGATTGTCTTAACTCAGCTTGTCAATGGTAAATATTCCTTGAGTAAATAGGTTGCAACCTCAGGCAGCATATAATAGTGAAAACCATAATTATTTGTCACTTGATATTGACAGGAACTTGCTCTTTCTGTTGTTTTATCAGTTTCCCACTTTGATTTGTACTATGTATTAAATTGGGTATAAATACACATCTAAACTCCTCCATATTTTCTGAGACTTACATTCAGGAAGTCAGAATGATTTTAAATGCACTGCATTCAAACATAAATGTGTGTTCAAAAATATATAAAATTTTACATTATAGCTTTATATATTTCTG